CTTTGTTGTCCTCCTGATCGACTCCTAAAATCGATGTTTACGCTTGTTATCTAGAAAAGGATTACCAATCCCTTTATATATATTACTGGTTCACGCGCGAACCACGAACATTTTGTTTGCCCCCCCCCCCTAAACATTTCTAGGGGGACAAGAAAAATGTGTATTATACTCAAACATTAAAAAATCTAACGTTACAAACCGGATATTAAGTAAGTTAACACATCTGATATGAAATAAAAAAAGAAATCGATTCTGGTTAATATAAATCACAATATTACTTAATTTACAATTTACATATACATAAATATATATTCATTATTCATCCATAAATCAAATATGTACATTGTACTCAGACACTGACAAGAAATGCCTTTCATTAAAAAATCATGACTTTAAATGCAAAATATTTTTTTTAATATGACACATCACACAATATTTGCGGTGAACATGTAGTTGTACTACAAGTATTAAAGCTTTATCATAATAAGTGGCAGAACTTATAGTGAAAATATCTAAAAATACTCAATAAACCCCCTTTCCCAGGAATTCATGAATTGCTAAATTGCAAAACAGGCTTTCCCCCATCCCTACAGGGGGGCAAGCCTTCTTAAGAGAGGGGCATGCCCCCCTTAATCAGGCTAGGGGGGCCTTGCCCCCTTGCCCCCCCCCTAGTTGCGCGCCTGCAGGTCCGTTGCAAAATTAAAACTAGATGAATAATTTAGCAAAAAAAAATGTTTTTCACATTTTTTAAATACCGCAAGCCAGGAGGACATGAATCATGTGATATCATTTTTATTCAAATAACTAAACATATATTTGTAATATCTACCATATCTAGCTTGTCCGAAATATATATTTCTAGGCTCTTCTGTTTCAATTGTAAACATTTTCTCTTTGTGTACAGTGTAAAATTATAAAAAAAATTCTTAGATTTTTTAAATTTAATAACAATCAAATTTTGCTGGAGGCAAATTCTTTAAATTTTGATTAAACCTTCCCTAAAGTTACGTGATGTACAACAGTACTACACAAAATTTGGTCCCGATCGGTTCAGCCGTTTTGACGTTTATTGAATACAAACAGACAGACAGACACCCAGAGCCCAAAACTTAAGACAGGGTATTGTTATGAAAACCAGTTTTAAAACCCGGGTTTTACGAATGGGGTTAGGCAGTTTTGTGGATATCAATATTTTTGTTTATGAAATATTTTTTTATTTATTTTCTTTATATTCTCCATTTTTGTTGAATCTCTTAAATCAAAATCTATAAAATATTAAGACCCCAAAAAGGAAACTCGAGAGTTTCGTTCAATGATACTCTTTTAAATTTTGGGCTCAGACAAGCAAAGTATATACATAGATTATTATTATTTTACTTCGTTGTACTGTGTGAACCGTGAGTAAAATTTAAATAAAGGGTGTGCCCAAATAGATTATCAAGTACAATAGGTGGCAACAGAGAAATGGATCAATTATACATGACGTCACAAGTGTCAATTATAACAAGGAAAACGAAATTTTCTCACATAATTTGACATGTTTTTCAAGATTAAATAAAAAAAATGTAAAAACAAAAAATAAATAACACAAAAAATTGCACCTTTTTTCACTCTATAAGGTTTTTATTCTAAAACTATCACTATTATTAATAATTTTGTCGGACACAAAAACTGAGTTGACACTTGTGATGTAAGAATACAGCTGTACTGAGAGTGTACAAATACTACGTTGTCATCTATTGTACTTAACAATCTATCTTTCACATAAAAAATCAATTAAATATTCTGGTTATAGAAAACTATTATGTGAATTATGAAAATTTTAAAAATGAATTGCTTTAATCCTCCTCGGATACTAAAGTAACACTGATGTACGCAGAGAATACGCAACAGCGATTAACTTTCCTAGCCTTATTACCTTGGGTGTGCCTAAACAATGTCTGCAGTACGGGGTGCTCAAAGAACACAGAATACAGGGCGTGGCAAATATGAACTTATCTTCGGCTAAAATGCTGCCAAGGTATTGTTGATATGTTTGAACTCAGGGGCGTATTTAGGAATTTCTCCGGGGGGGGGGCTGTTTTTTATGGGGAGGGTTTCATTTCATTCCCCATTGTAGCCCAAAAACCCTCTGGAAACCATTGATTTCGCTGAACCACGGGGGCTGAGGCCCAATGACCCCTCCCGTGAATACGCCTCTGCTGTGTGCACTGTATACTGTGTGCGTGCACAGAAACAATGAATTTATAAAAATGATTTCAGACCGTGGTTTTTAATCCCATGTATTTTTACGCGCGGATAGTCATGTCTCTTGTTTACAGCATACAAAAATACGCAACATTGTCTTTAAAGTACTTAATATCCTGATCTACTTACCGTTATGCAAACTTGTGCTTGAAAAGTTAAAGCAGCTATTAATTCAAAAGGGGGGGGGGGCTGCCCAGGTAGTATGTTTTTGCAGTGCCACTCCCATTTTTGACACTATTACCTTTATTTTTTTATTTAAAGAGAAAAAGTAATGTAAAGAATGTTTTTCAAAATTTTTCTTTTTAATTTCATATTAGATTGGGTACGGTCGAAAGGCGACCAGTTGATGTTAAAAAATCTAAAAATAGCCCATAAGTTTCTTGTTAATTAAACTAAAGATCTAAACTTTGTGCAGTACAGTGACAGAACAAAATATGGCACTGTAACATATTTTTTTTGAGTTAACAAGCACTCTATTAATTATCTCCTCCGTGCATTTAATCTTGTAGCTCTGGGCTTCAGGAAACTTGAAGTGCAATTGCAAAACCAACATATTCAAATAAACTTGTTTTTTCTCAAGTTAAAAAATGCATTTCAAAATTAAGTGCATTGAATAGAAATTAAAGCTCATACCATTTTTTTAAACTCTTGTCATGCCCGGGCCCCTGGACAAATAGAACTCTTATCATGCTCGGGCCCCTGGACAAATAGAACTCTTATCATGCCCGGGCCCCTGGACAAATAGAACTCTTATCATTCCCGGGCCCCTAGACAAATAGAACTCTTATCATTCCCGGTCCCCTGGACAAATGGCTTTAAATTGACTGTAACTTGTAAACCTATAATTTCAAGTGACCCTTCAGGCAAAGATGGCATTACCCGATTCACAATAATACCCTTTAAAGCTTTACTCTTGAGTAATAACAATACAGATAAAACACTAGATGTCGTCATTCAATATTAATGTGGAAGATATTGTCGTTTTTCTAGGTTCAAAAGTGTTGAACTCTGATAATGTTTTTCTGCACTAGAAATGCGCAAGGCTAAATACACTTTTGTAGAGAACCCGAAATTAGAAATAATAAACACTGATATCTAATTCATACTTGACCAGTAAAGCCATAGATTAATAACAATACAGTTAGAACACAAGATGTCGTCTTTTCAAGATTTAATATATGAATTGCCTCTACAAAAGTCTTGCGCATTTCTGGCGCAGAAAAACATTATCAGAGTTCAACACTTTTGAACCTAGAAAAACGACAATGTCTTCTACATTATTATATATATGTTACTTCTCATGAGTATTATAATATATATTTCATTTAAGTCCTTTTCTGGCAATCAAGGACAGAGGGACTTAGATGAGAAAAACTATTATGGATTATGAACCTAGAGATAGTCAAGTTTACTGCCAGGAACAACAATTACTACCTAGGACTACACAGACATACGATTAAGGGATTTTATATTGGACAAATATGACTAGTGGATGAATTACAAAAAAATGACATAGACTGTAATAGGGGACTTTATATACATAGTCAACATGACAAAGAACAAGCACAAGAACAAGCCATGGATATTACAAGAATTTGGTATATCTTTGAGCACAGAGCCAACCCTTCAACAATTAAAAAAAGCTTTTTTTTAACTCAACTCCTGAAAACAGCGCTTTCTTTTTGAAAATTTGTTTAGCCCCCTTTCCTCTTTACCCCCACACCAAAAAAAACCATCCAAATTCTAAACACTAAATCGCCCCCCCCCCCTCACAAAAAGTGCTATTTGCGCCACTGAAACTTGTGAATGGTACATTACCATCTTTGAATGGAGGGTCACTTGAAATAACGCTTACATCCCCTTTAAACTGTACATTTTATTTCGAGAAAAATACACTGCACTACACAGTATGAAACGTGCAAAACCTAGTTTTGCCAACAATTTGGGTAATTGCAATTGTATTTCTTTTTGTACTTCTGGTAGAACAATCTTTAAAAACACACGAATATTTTCAATAGCGCTGAGGGATACATGTAGAAACCTCAGAAAAGAAAATTAAGTTTTCCAAACCAGATTTTATCAATTTATACTGTTTTAAGTTTCAGTCTCTACTCTCTAAGCACAATAAAACAGTACACAAGTACTCAGCACAAACGTACTTATAGTTTATTTTCAGTGATAAAGTCATAACCAAATCAAAGGTCAAATTTTGATGCAAGACAAGTTAGATAATCTATTTTTTTCAAAAAAATAGTTTTTGCTGTAATATTCAAATAATACAGAGGGTCCCATTTAAACTTTAGACAAAGCAAAACAAAACCCATGAACTCTTCACTCTTCAGGAACTAATACTCTTTATCTCTAAGTTACTTTTTCAGAGGACGCATGATTGGAAATAATCAATTTTTAATTCTAAAAACTAAATATTTGTCGTATGAAATCGTTTTTGTACAATCAATCTCCAAAATGCATTATGATACAAAACTTTATGTTCAATAGAACATTTTGTTTCAAGGGAACTACAGAGTTTCCTTAATTTAGCTTATTTTCTAATCTTCATGTCTTAGCATCCTTATATGTCATGATCTTTTGATATTTTAAACTACTATAAACTACTATAAACAAATTATTAAAGTTTTGAAATATTAAAAGGATCACCAGTTTATAAAAGATGTAGGGATTAGAAAATTAGAGTTTGTAGCGAAAGTTAAGTTCCTTTTTTGTTTGAAACCTGATTTGGTCTTGCAAATTTGTTTTGTAGATTTCAGATTAATAAGATGGTTACTAAGCGATACCTTGCAGCTTTAGGGAAGACGATATTTATAAGTTACTTTGCATCCTTAACCCTCTCTTACAGCTTTATTTACAAGTGTATCTCTTAAACAACTTATATACTGACAATATGGTCAGAAAAAAGTGAAAACCCTAATGTTAAGAAAAGATTTGTTCTTTTGATGTTTCAAGAATATTTTGTACAATATCCATGTGTAAGCTAACATGGATATTTTGTACAATATCCATGTGTAAGCTAACATGGATATTTTGTACAATATCCATGTGTAAGCTAACATGGATATTTTGTACAATATCCATGTGTAAGCTAACATGGATATTTTGTACAATATCCATGTGTAAGCTAACATGGATATTTTGTACAATATCCATGTGTAAGCTAACATGGATATTTTGTACAATATCCATGTGTAAGCTAACATGGATATTTTGTACAATATCCATGTGTAAGCTAACATGGATATTTTGTACAATATCCATGTGTAAGCTAACNGGGGGGGGGCAAAAAACGTATGCTAGGACGGACGCTTTTTTCTCCTAAAGTTAAACCCAAAACTGTCTTCTCTCAGGAATTATAATTCTATCTGTACTTGGAGTATTGATCGTCAGGAAAATTTCAAATGAAAAATAAATTTGTTGTCTTCATTTTTTTTGTATAAACACATAATTTTTTTAAAAAATTTAATATATATCTTGTTTTTTAATAGTTAAGAATTGTTGTGCATTATCTTTCTCAAACAGGATTTTAAAGAGATGTAAAGAAAACAAAACTTATATCAGCTCTTTCTTTTGTTCACTTTTAACTTTTATTCAATTTTGATGGAATTTATCACACCTAATATTTCCCGTTGAAGGGTGATTAAGTGACTTTATCGCCCTACAACAAAGTGAAAAAGTATTTTTTTACCCTGCTATTCAAATTTCAAATTTCATACTCAATTTTTCTCTTTGTAGGGTGATAAAGTTACTTAATCACCCTACAACAGGGTGATTAAGTAACTTTATCTACCTGCTTTCAAATAATTTGAGTAAAATTGAATAAAAAAATTTATGTTTTTGAAATGGGTATCATGCGTGCAAAAAAGTTTTTGCTGAAATTTTTAACTTTTCTAGTTTGTTTTCGATCAAAATAAACGAACGTAGTGCGGTATGAAAATACTTTTATTTTGATCTTAAGCAAACTTATAGAAAAGTTAAAAATTTCAGCAAAAAATAATATTAAGAGAATATTTTGATCTCACATAAAATGTTCGTGATTTTCTCATTAAATTTTTTCCCCCATAAATTTTTTAATTTTTTTTTTAAATAAGAACATTTTTAAAATTAAAATTGAAATGTTAATTTAGTTACCTGGAGATAATAAACATGGACAGGTGAAATTTTTAATTCATTTATTATATTGTTATTTTTGAGAAAAAATTGGAAATTGGTAGTTTTTTTATGGACCTGTGTGTAATAAACATCCGACTTTGATAAAAAAAATAAACAATTGAGTTTTGGGAAAATTTGAAGTTCTAATTAACCTTGTGTATTATGTAAAACGTCCCAGGCTACACTCTCGATGTTTATAGAAAACAAATATTTTTTTGAGAGAATATTTCTTTCTTGCTTCGAGTCAAATAAAAAATGATCCGAAAAACCTAAATTTAATTATAACATGAATATTTTAAATTTTTTTCAATTATTTTTTTACATTTTTGTTCAATGAAATTCCATAAAAATATGAATTTAATTTAATTTTATGTTAAATTCATCGGGTTATTCAAAAATTAGTTAGCGCTGGTTAAATATTTTTTGATTTGTAACCAACATGACTTTTTATTCTAAACACAATTTTTTCTTTTTACTTTTTCTTGTTTTTGTTTGTCTAAATTCAATGAATTTAATCAAGGATTCAACCCATTCTTTATTTTTTGATTTTCAAAGGAAACCGTTATTCAAAATTTATTTGTTGACATTTTCTTATACAACTGAAGAAAATAAAATACAATCGCAATATTGTTATTATTATAACGGATAGGAAACCTAATATTGTTATTATTATAACGGATAGTAAACCTATATTGTTATTATTATAACGGATAGCAAACCTAATATTGTTATTATTATAACGGATAGTAAACCTAATATTGTTATTACTATAACGGATAGCAAACCTAATATTGTTATTATACTATAACGGATAGCAAACCTAATATTGTTGTTATTATAACGGATAGCAAACCTAATATTGTTATTATTATAACGGATAGCAAACCTAATATTGTTATTATTAAACGGATAGTAAACCTAATATTGTTATTATTATAACGGATAGCAAACCTAATATTGTTATTATTATAACGGATAGCAAACCTAATATTGTTATTATTATAATGGATAGCAAACCTAATATTTTCATCATTATAACGGATAGCAAACCTAATATTATTATTACTATAACGAATAGCAAACCTAATATTCTCATTATTATAACGGATAGCAAATCTAATATTGTTATTAGTATAACGGATAGCAAACCTAACATTTTTTATTAATATAACGGATAGCAAACCTAATATTTTTTATTAATATAACGGATAGCAAACCTAATATTTCTATCACTATAACAGATAGCAAACCTAATATTGTTATTACTATAACGAATAGCAAACCTAATATTTTTTATCAATATAACGGATAGCAAACCTAATATTTTTGTTACTATAACGGATAGCAAACCTAATATTGTTATTATTATAACGGATAGCAAACCTAATATTGTTATTATTATAACGGATAGTAAACCTAATATTGTTATTATTATTATTATAACGGATAGCAAACCTAATATTGTTATTATTAAACGGATAGTAAACCTAATATTGTTATTATTATAACGGATAGCAAACCTAATATTGTTATTATTATAACGGATAGTAAACCTAATATTAATATTGTTATTATTATAACGGATAGCAAACCTAATATTGTTATTATTATAACGGATAGTAAACCTAGTTTAAAATGACATGCCATGCAATTGCAGGATTTCTGAATAAACCACTGTTAATAGTCTGAATACTGTTTCATAAGGACAGAATAGTTGCGGCCTGCTTTAACCAGAAAACTGAATTTCTCGTGGTCGTTATATTCTTTAAAGCATGAAATGGCGCTATTTCCAAAGACATGTGCCTGGAATGATTTTTAAAGCTGAATCAGTATCATCATTCTTTTAAAATAGAATTTAAAAAGTCCTGAGAATTTATTCATTCAACTAGATGCCATTCATTTTACATTAAAATAAAACATAATCATAAAAACTCCATTGTTAGGTATCTTATAGAAGAAGAGGTTTGTGGAGTAGAATCATGCTTTGTTCAGCTAGGGAGTAGGTAAGTAATTAAGCAAAATATTTTACAAACAGAAAACGACATTTTAAAACCACACGCATTTGGTTTGAAGACGACATTTATTATCTCGTATTTCAGATGTCTGAGGTGCACAAATCCTAAACTACCTCGGAAAGTACAGAAAAGATCTCTTACATCTGTGCAACCTTTACCACCAACTGTAATAGATCAACAAGGGGTACATTTTTTTTATGAATTTTACCTATTTATTGATTTTTTAAATTTTTATGTTTGAGAATTGTTTTATTTTTGCTGATATCTTAATTTATTTTAGTTTATAATTATAAACTAAGTTTCGTTAAAGATGGTGGACACGTTTTTAATTTGAAAATGTTTGAAAATGAAGATACGTGGTTTTAAAGTGTACTTTGGGTTTATGAAAGAAAAGATACGTAGTTTTAAAGTTTACTTTAGGTTACCGAAACCAAGAAAAGATAAATTTTTCTTAATTAATTAAGATCTGTAGCCATAGAAAATGAAGCGAAAATACGAAAAATCGTCCAAAAATTATCTTGAATTGATCACTAATCCTTAAGCATTAATTTAATTCCTTGATAAGTACAATAAAATACAATATATCAAGATTTAAGATAGAAGACGACTTTTTGTTTAGTGTCAGATGTTAACTCATTGTCTAAAGCAGTGTAATCACGGGCTGGAAAATATATGCAGTGAAACTGAAAAACGAGCAGCGAGTCCTCCAATATTCTTGGGTAAAATAATTATTAACATTGGTCGGATTAGATAGTTTTTCACATCACAGACCACCCTTCCTTCTCTTTATCCCCCGTCTCAAAGGTTTTTTTTGAAATGTAGAACAATTAACCTTGGTTGGTTACTCTGTCAGGCAAAGTTTTGAATTTCTTAATTCTTTATCCCAAAAAATTTTCTTTTCTTTTTGTGTACTACATCCTCCATAATATTGTGTACTACATCCTCCATAATATTGTGTAGACCACTGTATTAAAAGTTTATAATCCTTCAGTTTAGCATCATAGTAGAAGTCAGGTTAAGATTCAAACCTTGTAGAAAACTTTTTCGATTAGGAAAATTATTTCCAAAACTCGCCAGAATTGTTGCAGAGGCCTCAAGGCTTCAGTTCCCAGAATACAAGGGGGGGGGGGGGGGGGTACGAAATAAAGTAAGACCTTTCCTATTACCTCTAAATTTATTTTTACAAAATAATGGAGATCGTTATAGCTTTACTTTTAGGGTCTTGTTAATACCGGAAATAATTTTTCCATGAATTAGAAAACAGAATTTTTAAAATATTTTGGTTGGTCATATTTTTCATAATATTCACAAAAAAGCATATAAACATTTGCCTTAACACAATACACATTTTCTTGAAATTAAATGAAAAATTAGTTTCTTTCGGATCCCTGGAGCTGTGGGTTTGTAAGTCTGTTTGTCAAATTATGATTGATGAAATGGCAGGTTTCTTGAGTTGGCACTAGCAGGCAACATTAGTTGCGGGGGAAGTATCAATGATGGATTTCAGAGATTCATTTTATCATCTTTATTTTAGAATCTTTAGGAACTTTTTTTCTTTTTTTTCGTGCAGAAATTCATGGAAAACAAATATTAGCCTTAAAGGAACTCTATTTAAAGACATAGCCTTTTTACAACAGTACCATTAACTAATTTATTTGATGAATGATTAAGAAATCCATGTTTTAACCTTGAATATACATTATTTTTAAACGGTTTCTTTACAAAAGAGACCTGGGGATTTCTTCTACAGAAACAATGAAGGATCTTATCAGAACTTTACCATCTTTCAACCTAGAAAAACGGCGATATCTTTCACAATATTGATCAAACAATTTTTAGAATTATTTATTACTAAAGTTTTTTTGTTTAACACCAATTGTTGGCGCTAGTACCAACTATGTAGATAGATATACGAACTCTATCTTTACAATTTGGCTGTGAATTAATGACAAAGTTTATACGAAATGTTTGGATTTTAAGGTAAAAAGAAATCCTCTTTTCCTTGTATATTATAGAGTGAATTTATTTCAACGTTCCTGGCTTTTTTAAAACTTCTCCGACAGTTTCTTAAACATAGTTTATTTTATTTTTTAATGTAAACTTTCTCTTTTAAGATGATGATGAGCCGATGTGTGAAGATGACCGTCCCCGTATTCTCGGGCATGCTGGAGGAGATCCTGTCCGGGCATGCGAGAACACGGTAGAGGCCACCAGGGCAGGTCTTGAGGCTGGTATGGAGGCTGTTCATATTGATATCTCAATATCCAAGGACAAGATTCCGTTCCTTTGGAGAGATCATGATCCAAGGTAAATTAAATTTTATGAAGAGATTGTTCACTAAATAGAAAATGCACTAAAATCCCCAACTTTTGGAAAATCTTTTCTCTCAATTTTGCTGCTGGAAGGGCCAGAAACCCCGATAATATTTGTCAGCATAATTCGACATCTAGTGGATTTTATAGATATATATTTCATACAGGGGATAACAAATCTATTTTGTATTTTGTCCTTATAAAACAAGTGAATCATGATTAATTATTTTTGATCATAACGGTTCATTACACTGAAAGTACTCTTTTTTAGCTAATCCTGAAACCAAGAGTTAACCATGCGTTAGAACTTTTGTCACCTTGAGTTTAGTATCGTAAATCTTGAACGTTAGATCTTGATATCTAATGTGGGAGCTTTTAAATTTGAGAATAAATGCTTGATTAATTAATGTTATTTCTACAAGGATTTGAAAACCACAGGATATCAAACAGAAATTTAGTAAGAAAAAACTACCTAGAATATATATTTTTAAAGCTTTAATTTGAATAATAAATAAAATTACACATTACCCCAAGCATTGCACACTGAAGAAATAATGCTCTCCATATTTTTTGAAATTGTTTTAAATGTCAATCATGTCAATCATCTATTGTATTGACTAAGTTTACTCTCTATAATTCTTTATCCTCTAAGTTCTATTCGTACAAATGATATAAAACTCTGGATTAGAATTGTTATGGTTCAAGTCATTTCCCAAATTTGTTAGGCAATTTTCTTAAGTACTTATGCAAATTCTTTCTTCATAAAAGTTGAAGGAATGAATATTTTTCTCTAAAATATTATACTTTTAGGTCTTTAACTTCACGTCTCCGTCAGATGGGAAGTTATGGTGTGATGGGCTGCAGACCAGCATTCAATCTTCAATCCGTAGTTCCAGCCCATCAGCTTACCTGGGAAAAAATACAGGTTCCCACCCCCCTTTATCCATCTCATCAGCTTACTTGGAATAAGATACATGTACCCCCCCTTTATCCAACCCATCAGCTCACCTGGGATACAATATAGGTAACCCCGCACCTTCATCCATCCCAGCAGCTCACCTGGGATGCAATATAGGTAACCCCCCCCCCCCTTCATCCATCCTATCAGCTCACCTGGGATATAATATAGGTAACCCCCCCCCTTCATCCATCCTATCATACTACTGTATATGTTTAGTCTGATTGGTTCTATGTGAATACTACCACAAATCTACGTAATCACAACAATACTATCGTCAATTTCCAGGTATTATAAACTTTAGTTTTTAAATGATCATTGTAAATTTTCATTTTCAAAATTATAAATTTTTATCAATTATGTCTTATGATTGAACTGTTCTATACAGTTGTAAATAATTTTTTATTTGAATTATCCAGTGTTGCAGACTTAAAAATACTATTGGTAAACAGCATTTTATTCTTTTCTATGCTATGATATAAAAAACTGAGAGGGATTGAGAATGTTTATGTATTTATACATGTATTCTGATCTAGGATTGGGTTAAGGGGGTAGGGGTTGACCTGAAGAGGATAGAAAAGGTTTGGTTGGAGTTTAGAATGCCAAGGTAATGTTACTTATGCTTTACAAGAATTCATTTATTGTATTTTATTGTATTTTCTTAAACAGTATAATATTTTAGTACAAGTGCAAAAAAAGAAAAGTATTTGTAGTGTGGTCTTTTCTTTACAAAATTTACTTTATTAGCTGGAAACCTAGAATTTTTCTGTAGGAAACTCACGATATCGATTGCTTGATTCCGATTTCCACTGTGAGTACTTTTATTTTTAGAATCAATGTTTAATCTCTTCAATTGCTGTAATCCCTTCAGGGTAAAATTATACTGCAAATATAAAATAAAGATTAGATTAGTCTGATCGAGCATTAATCTTGATATCCACAATACAAGAGTTCTCAGCTTTGTTAATTTTTCGACGATTTGGGGTTTTTTCATTTCTCTCTTGAATCAAGAACTCATCAGTTCGTAGAAATTTATCAGATAATAAAGAGTTAATCACTTTAGAAATTATATTATTGGGAAACTGCAACTGTAGTTTTTAATTAAAGAGTCAGCGTCGAAGATTTAATTTATCTGGTTGAGAATGTTTGTTTAAAAGGAAAGGATTACAATTAAATAGAATTAGAAGTTTTTACATTTTGCATTCTAACAGTTCCTTTGTAATAAATAAAGTAACAACCCCATCATCTTTGAAACCTGAACATACATATATGCATATATATTTCATTATCGTCCCCTTACCATGTTATCGGCCAGTTTAATCTTTTTAATCTTTACCTGTATCATTAAATACAAAATAAAGTTAGTTGAATATGAACTCTGTTTATTCCCGGACAGTTCTTGATAGAGAGTATAGTGTTTGATACAGTTGTGTGTGGATTGAAACACATTTAAAGAGAAAGGTTTTTTTTTACAAAAGTGGTGGCTGGGGTGAGACCTATGAACCTTAGTTTAAAGGCCACGGACTCCAAGGAAGAAAAGTACAATGAGAACCTGGTTTAACAGGATAATAAGAGATACCCTAGAAGGAGAAACTGTGTCAGAAGATACAGTAACAGTGCAGAGACGAGTTAAGACTGCAGATAGCGAAAGTGTTACAGTGGACAGTTTTAGAGGATACCCTAGTTTACCTAGTGAGAAATCAGATACAGAATCAGATATGTAAGAAGCGGGAGAAACAGGTGGAAACCATCCATCCACACAGTTTGATCTCATAATGCAAAAGATGAAGCAAGTGAAGTTGCAAACCAGAGCAATGGAGTTGCAAGCCCAAGGTAGGGATGTGGAAACGGAAACATTGTGGAAAGAGATGCAAACAGTGAAAAGTAAAAACAAAAGTAAGTCATTCCTGACATGTGGGAAAATATTGTGACACCAGAAACCCATGATCCCATTACAATAGGATCATCGATCATAGAGCAGAGTAATAAGATAGATGGGACGCAAGGATACACGGAGCAACTTAATGAATTAGTTACAGCTTGGAGGGCAAACTGGAATATGTACATTAAAATAAGTAAATCTGAGGGAAGTATTCAGAAAAGAACACTGAACTTTGTCGGGGGTGCTCCCAAATATAGTGGAAACCCAGAGAAAGTGTCCGCAATGTGCAAGAATTTGAAACTCTATTGTTTAACCATGGTTGTTTAACGATCCCAAGACAAGCAGTGAAAAGGATACTGTTGGCATGCATCACATGATCAGCTAGACAAGAGATATGCTGTTACATCCTACAGGGTTAAGATTTGAGAACTATGAGACAGGAGTGTTTTTCATGGAGCTGTTGAAGAAATTCTCACAAGAGAAAGACGAGGAAAGCCGTAAACAGGAATACCTAGCCAGGAAGCAGGGAACAAATGAAGATCCAAGGAAATATTTTACTGACAAGTTGAGGTAATGAGTACAAGCATAAACACCAAAAAAGAGGAGCCTGGTAGAATCTAAGAATTCAATGCTCATGGGACTGTACCATGCAGAGCTGTAGAAAATATGCCTATTTTTTCTGCCTAAGGAGCTGCAACTTGAAAACGAGATGAAGGCACTACTGGATCACCAGTTGGTCAACTTGAGAATGTACAACACAGACCCCAGGGCCCCATGATCTGGCTGGATTAAGAAGCACATATAGTTTTGAGACAGGGGAAACAACACAAAATCAGATGAGATGTGGAAAACAGGACAAGTTCCCATGGATGAAAACACAATGTAGACTGGAGATGGCTGTTTCTTCTGCAAGAAAACTGGTCATCAGAAGAAAGATTGCAGAATGGAAGAAGAATCCAAACCAGAAGATATGAAGTACCAACTGGAAGCCTATCTCCTATTACAACTGTGGGAAAGCAGGACATATTTTAAGGGAGGAAGAGGCGACGGAAATCTAGGGGGCAGAAGAATGGCGGAAATGGAACAATCCTTGGTGGATATGAAAGAGATGTTCAAGAAGATGGCACGTTTTTTTCAAAGAGAGTTCCAACAGCCAACAGCTGGCAACTCTAGAGATGAAGAAACATAATTCTGTGAATAAGAATAATTGTGAATTAATAAACGTTTCAAATCATTCAAATGTCCGACCTTTTAATCCTGAGTTAATAGGAATTTTAAGACCTCAAGGCAAGTAAAAAAAGAAAGTGATTAGTTGGGAAGAGGATTTAATTATGAACTTGGAACAATATGAATAAGATGTTCATGGTTTAGCATTAGTAGATACAGGATATCTAGTGAAGGATAGTATCCAAGGAATTCTGGGAAATGATTGATGGAAAAATGTCAGGAAAGAGCAATGCTTGTGTGGGCACAGCAGAGAAAGGAGGGAAAGGACTCCCGAGTATTAGGGAAAGGAGAAAAGATTAAGTTTTATCTACATGGGTTAGATCGAGTTTTTGAATTGGATCCCATTGTAATAAATAGGGTTAAATCATGCAGCGAATTTTGGCATGTAATTCTTGTTGCAACAAGAAGTGTCCATTTCCTGATCAGACCAAGAAGCAAAATTGGTGACTGGATGTGTAGGTCAGGAAAGATTAACCCGGTAATGGAATGTGACAGGCACTCCATACCCATTTATGAACAAGGAAAAGAGGATAGATAAGGTGGGAAAGAAGAACATGCAAGTAATCCCTTCCTACTGGAAAGCACAGAAGCCCCCCTACTTTGAATAATATACCAGAAGTAAAAGAGAGAAGATTGTGCCAAATTAGTGAAAATAAGAGTAAAGGGAGATTGGAGAGGCAAGGGATTTATAAAATCCATGCCACCAGAAAAACAAGAATCAGGCCAAAAATTAGTACTTCCCGAAAAAGCTATATATATATATAGAGAGAGTATCATGCAGATGAAGAAGTAGAACTATGTGCAGGTTGGAGACTAGGGAAAGTCCACAGCTTATATATTGACAAAGAAGCTTGGCTCAGAGAGGAATTGAGAGGTGGAAGTTAAACAGAAGTGGGAGAGGATGAAGATGAAATGCCATCAAAAAATGTGAGCTCAATGCAATCCATGTGTTTGTTTGTGAGAACTTGTCTACTCCTTCTCTCCAACCTTTGTATTGGTTCTTCAAAAGGATGACAAATATTTTACTTTGCAGTTAGGAGCTCGGTGAAAAAAGGTTTCAAAAGACAGACTCAAACCAATAATCTCAACCAAGGTTATAGTTCCACAAGTCCCTCTAACCAGAGGACATCCTCAGTGGCTCCTCTGGATTGTTCTCAGCGCCCTGCAGCTCCTCCTCAGGTTAGGTTCAGTTCTCTGCTTTCTCCACCTCGCCCTCCGCCTAGTTCTCTGTCCTCCCCTCCAGGTTCTCAGGTTCATAGAAAAAACCTTCCTAGAGTGGCCAGACAACCAACTACAGCTTCATCTCCTTGTCAACCTTGTAGATGATGCTTGGGGGACCTCTATAGCAGAGCTAAAAATGACCTTCGTAGACTGACCTAGCTTTATTCGACAATTTATCATGTGATACTGTTTCCAATTACAGTCTTTTTCTTTACATATGTTTCATGAATAAACGTTCACTAACTTTTGATCTAGCCTTAACTCCTTTTTAAAGAAATAAAAATGTTACTTGAACAAAGTATAAAATATAAATAAAGTTTACTCTTTAAAGTTTAACAGGAAAGTTTTCTTTTTTTCTTAGAGTTAACAAATTGAATAACAATTCTTTTTCTCAGAAAAATTAAATTGAATTCAAATTCTCCAATTTCAATTCTTGCCAAATGCACATTACACAGTTTAAATTCAACAAATATTAATATCATTTTTCAATATTTTCTTGAAGTAAAGATGTTTCACCAACGTTCAATCAGAAGATAAAAATAAATATCTTTATAAAGAAAACTGAACTAGATATTTACAATCAATGATCTTGCCAGGCTAAATTTCTTTCATAAAACATGCTTTAGGTCGACTCTACACTGAGTATAGGGTTTCCAGGAATCGATTGATTCTCTTGCGCAACAGTTTCGTGTTTTTGCACGAAATGACCTTTTTTGCAGAAAATTTTGCATCAATATCATACCGAAATGAATCATCTTTTTTTGCACAAAATTGCGCATGTATACAAATTTAAGTCATAATTTTTGCATGATTTTGTGTATGTTCATAGTTTTTGCACATAATTGGGAAATGCTCATGATTATCAAAAATTTGAATTTCAAAGTTGCAGTTTTTTTTTTCTTAAATAATAATCACATTATTATCATATTCAAAGTTTAGACACTGTTAAAATTTTGGTTACTTTCATGAATAAAATTTGTCATGATAAATATGTTTTGAGAAAACGCTAAAAAGGTGCCACTGGAGGTGCGTCTCACTCAGTCTTACTGATAAGTGATGACATCTTTGTATTGATCTATAGCAATGTATACATTTCTCTTCTTAGTATGTCTGCTTGTTTGTTAACAATCTCCGTCAGCTAAACCAAATTGTCTTATATTTGTGTAGAAGAAACCTTGAGTGATTAATTCATTCATTTCCTGAAATTGTTTCTCGAAATTTAACGAAATAGCTCGAAATAACGAAATAGCTCGAAATAACGAAATAGGTTGAAATAAAATAGCAGGAAACGACAAATTACGCCAAGACAAAGATTTTCTTCGGAAATTTTGATAATTAGATTTTGAGCTCCAATGCAAAATTCTATACAAATTTTGCCCAATCTTTACTCCAAACGTAAAAACATCTTTACGCAATTATTGCACGATTTTCGCGCAACAAATTCGATTGGAAACCCCAACTGGATAGCCTGACTGGACAGTACGACTGAATGCATAAACAGTACCTGTTGTACTGGCATGGGTCATGGAACAAACATGAAATTACAGCAGGTTTTGCACAATTTGTAAAGGGTTTGTAAAGAGTTTTGAAATAATGCAGTATACTTGCATAGCACTTTTTACATTTACATTCACATATTTACAGTAGTTAAATAATAGTATACTAGAGTATACTCCACATAGAAATTATAGAGTTTACTCCGCCATATTTACAGTGTAGTTAAATAATAGTATACTACAGTATACTCCACCATATTTACAGTGTACTTAAATAATAGAAATGATTAGGGTATACTCCTCGATATTTACAGTGTAGTTAAATAATAGTAATAATAGAGTTTACTCCGCCATATTTACAGTGTTGTCAAATTATAGTATACTAGAGTATACTCCACTTTATTTACAGTGTAGTTAAATAATAGTATACTAGAGTATACTCCACCATATTTACAGTTTAGTTAAATAATAGAAATAATTAGGGTTTACTCCACGATATTTACAGTGTAGTTAAATAATAGAAATAATAGAGTTTTCTCCACGATATTTACAGTGTAGTTAAATAATAGAAATAATAGAGTTTACTCCGCCATATTTACAGTGTAGTTAAATAATAGTAATAATAGAGTTTACTCCGCCATATTTACAGTGTAGTTTAATCGTAATAGTACAGGACAGTATACGTAATTTCAACTGACCATCAGTTTATGGCATGTCCGATTTACAACGGTAACCTTTAAACAAAATATCCTTATTTGTCTAGCTAAAATTTGATTAATTTCAATTCTTGTTTCTTTATATATGTGCATTAATTACACTCTATAAATTGAGGATCACTTGAAATTACGTCTACAGTTCCTTAAACTATTTAAAGAGAGTTCCTGTATTCCTCCATCCTTGAAGTCTGGAGACTGGCAACTACTGCAGGAATTCAGCACAAACTTTTCTTTAAACTCAATCAATATGGAAAGGTATGCTTTTTAGTCTTAACGTTTTTCTCTATGGGCAATTATTATGTTGTTAGGTTCTTTCCCAAAAGCTTTTCCCCAAGTGGCAACTTCCCAACTGTGCACTTTCCCAAGTGGAAACTTCCAAAGTATATCTTAGCCGCAGCGCTCGGTCCCCTAGTCTGTTCTAGCCGTAGCGCCTCCCCCCCCCAATGCAGCCTGTGGCGCCACTGTAGGTCTAAACTAATCTTGCACAATGCACATTTGGGAAGTTGTTACTTGGGAAGTTGTCAATTGGGATATGTCACTTGGGAAATTGTCAATTGGGAAAATACCTAACACCATTATTATCTTACAAAAAAGCTCTGCGCTAAACAAATTTGAATTTTTTTTCAAACTAACTTTTTTCTTCAAAAATTCAGTTTTTTTCTCCTAAAATCGCAATTTTTTATATTCAAAATTCACCGGGCAACGCCTGGCACTTCAACTTGTTATTTTTTAAGTTTTATAATATTATTGTTTATTTTCCTATAAGAGGGGGAAGGAGGTTAAAGATGTTTGCAATCAATGATATATGAAGAGAACAAGTTAAACTCATTTGAAGTGATTAGTTCAATAGTTTTCATCTCCAAATTCCAAATAATTGTTGAATCGGATTCTTTGTAAATATTTTTTCTTCTTGATTTAGGTCGTGTTCGATCAACCTATCACTCTGGTGGGAGGAATAGAAGTTTCAATCCAAAAGGAAAATTCAAACATTTAGATTTCAAATCAGATCTAACACAGTTCCGGTCTTATTTTTTCAAGCTTTGGTTGTTTGTTTCAATATGTTTTTTATTGTCTTATAATGATGGACTGGTTGTTTCTAAATATGCGTGTACTCGACGGGACCCTCTATTTCGATTCACAATGGTACTCTAAATAGCTTTGCTTTCGAAACAGTTTATCTTAAAGTGTGGTTTCTATACAAAAGTGGCCACATTCCCCCTCTTTAAATGAAGAGTCAATCTTCAAAGCTAAAACTTATCAAAGCTTAAAAAGAAGAATAATTTGTCCTCGAGTAAACGATATGTTACTAAATAGATTCCTATAGATTTACAGTGTATCTGAATTTTCTTAGTATCTTTATGTTTTTCAAAGTGGTGTTTATTTGTTTGATTTTGTCTCATATTGTTTTTGGTCTATAATTATTGTTTGTTTCATAATGGTTTTTATAAAATACAATTTTGTTTGTTATAATGGTGTGTTTGTATATTTCATGAGGTTGTTTGTTTCATAATGGTTTATTTAAATACAATTTTGCTTGTTATAATGGTGTGTTTGTATATTTCGTGAGGTTGTTTGTTTCATAATGGTTTATTTAAATACAATTTTGCTTGTTATAATGGTGTGTTTGTTTATTTCATGAGGTTTGTTTCATAACGTTTTTTCGGTCTCATTATATTTGTTTGTTTCAATCTTCAGCTTTCATTGTCCGAAAGAAATTCTATCGTGTACTTTCTAAAGGAGGTAAGCGTTAAACAATGATATAAGCTCATGTATCAAGTTTATTTTCTGTACAACGTAAAATGTACATATCCTTGCACATGCACATGACACCAACGTCCAACAGTACATGCAAGTTACAGTATTTGGAAGCCATCCTAGGATTTCATGTAACTGTAAATGTAAATGTTAAAAAAGAAAAATTTTGGATTTTTAGGAAGAATTTTAAACTTAATAATGTTAAAAGTTTAACTTGATTTCTTATTTTGTGTCGGAACTTTTTAATTCCTACTAAACATCAAGTTTTTTCCTCAAGCTAATTGGCAAGTTTCTCTTCGGTTGGGTATCTATTATCTATACTGCAGAGGTTTCTCTTCGGTTGGGTATCTATTATCTATACTGCAGAGGTTTACTATAGGTTTCTCTTCGGTTGGGTATCTATTATCTATACTGCAGAGGTTTACTATAGGTTTCTCTTCGGTTGGGTATCTATTATCTATACTGCAGAGGTTTCTCTTCGGTTGGGTATCTATTATCTATACTGCAGAGGTTTACTAAAGGTTTCTCTTCGGTTGGGTATCTATTATCTATACTGCAGAGGTTTACTATAGGTTTCTCTTCGGTTGGGTATCTATTATCTATACTGCAGAGGTTTACTATAGGTTTCTAGTTTTTGCACAGTTTGTAAATTTTCCTCATTGGCAAAAGAAATTTGCATGGAAAAAGTTGTCATTATTTATTTGTTAAAACCCACCAATTCAAATAGAAAAATCCGCGAATCCTTGAATTTTTTTTAAAAATCTCATCTCTGAAAACAGGAAGCTTGCAAATTTTTTTTTATGATTTAGAAAAAAGGGGGAATAGAAAGCTAAATTTAAAGCATAAACTTTTCTTAAAACATAGGAACAATATATGCACAATTGATCTTTGAAAAGAGTGTAAATTACGGAATGGTCATTTTTGTCAATATTTCAATATTCACTACGATTTTAACAGTGGTAAAATATTAATTAATTTACGATCAAAAATTTTAAATATAATTCTTTGTTTCTGTACATTTAATTGATTTTTTTTTCTGTTTAGATAGAAAAGGGGGATGCCAGGGGAGATGTTTTTATTTTAAACAGGTAGGTTTATAATGTTTCTTGTTAAGATTATTTTTTATTTTAATATTTTTGTTAAATATCATATTTGATAGTTATCCACCGAATTTGTATTAAGATATAAGTATAAAAGAGAAAATATTAAATTTCTATTATATATTTACAAATATATAACTGAACTATATTTTTTTTACCAAGAGCGGGTACGTGTTCTTTTGTGATTTTTTTGTTATTAATCCTGATCTTAACAATTTTTTTTTATTTTAAAGTTGAATCACCAACATGTCTGCTTTTTTACAATATGAAAAATTTCGACTCTGCAGAAGAATCAGGCCTTAACAAAAAGCAACTCAGTTCTTTGAAGAGTTTGAAAACCCAACGTCGTCTAAATCTTTTGCCTGAATTGACAGTTTCAAAGTACATTTTCAGCTAAAACATTAAGTTTTACTTATGTTAAACTTCTCAGTTTTTGAGTGGCCCTCTTGGATGCCCCCCCCCCCCCTAAAAAGGGAAAAATGGCTAAAATGTAATATTCAACATTTCACTGATCCATGTTTAAAAGATTGTTACCTCTTCTTTTACAGAAAGGGTTTCCATCTTCTTTCGGATCAATAAAAAAACAAAACCCTTCCAGAATCTGTTAAAAATGATAAATCATTCCTTTTGTAAATTAAGGGCGCAACCTTTCTTAACCGAATTAAGAATAAATCTACCTAATAAATTCTACACAAAGCTCGGTGTGACTTGCTGAAAAGTTTTACGGAAAGATTATTCTGGAGCTGAAATCTTTAGAATTGTGGATATCGAGATTACTATGCTTTTCTCCTCTATTTATTATGAAATTTTGCGGCAATAATTGAGATAACTTTCAGTGGTCGGAATCCAGCATGCAGGGATAACCAAAAGAGAGGATTAAGAAAAAAGTTTCCACAGCGGATACAGAGATCTATCAATCGGAATAAAAGGGGATCCAATACAAGAGTTTTTAGCTCGGATCAATTCCATTTGGAATAATATTCCTTTAAGCTTTTTTCATCGAGTCACAGCAATAAGGCCCTAGAGGGTTACTTTCTTTTAAAATCGGTTCAGGAAGATACCGCTCCAATCGTTAATCGTTCTTAGCAGCTTCAGGACAGGTTCCGTAGACCTTAACGGAATCAAATTGGCCCAGAATAAATTATAAACCCCAAATTAATCTAATACTGTTAAAGTGAGGATGAAGCTGTTTACACTCTTCTATCTGAAAATAATTCTTCCTCAGTCTCCGCTCTATATAAAGGTAAATATGGCAACACCGCAAAGTTGGTCCAGTCTGAATAGTTTATGTATAATTTTTATGTCTGTGTAAATGTGTGGAACTATATATATCATATATGAAGATTAAGTAAATCAAAGATGAATAATTTATTTTTTTTATTCTTTAACGATATCAAACATTTTGTAACGATTTTTTATTTAAATTTTTAGAGCTGAAAGCTAAAGTTGATCCTTCAAACCTTGATCTGAAAGGGATAAACTTTGAAGTAAAAACAATGGATTCCTTAGGTAGGATATGTGATGTTTTTCCCTTATAGTCTCTTCTTAGATACTATTTCCTTTTTCCCGAAATCTTTCAGCTTAAACCGTAGGGAAACATCTAACTATCTCTCCCACGACCTGGAGATCACAAAACCAGTGGCTCCTACAAATGTTTAAAAGAAAGAGACTATAAGAAAAATAATCTAGTTGAGTTTTGATAAATAGGTCTTTGCTAAATGGGTTTTTATTTATAAACCCCCGACCCGACTGAATATGTAAACAGTTTTACAGGTATATATAGTCCAGAACAGCAGAACATCTGGCAATACATAATTGTGATGTTTGCGCAGTCGCATTTACTCATTTTTCAAAAAAAGTAAAAAAATCTTTAGTTTACATAGATGACATTAAAACTAGCTTTTAAAATGGCGCCATTACTTTTTCTGATTTTGTAAACTTGAATTTTCTATATTTTATCCATGTATAAAGTTCAGTTGGTGATCACTGACAAAGTCGGATAAAACGCTGGATAATTTTCCAACCTTGATATTCTTAAAGCTTTCAACACACCTGACAAAATCATTCAGAATGTCAAGGATAATTTTCACTTTAGTACATATTGCCGAAGTTGGGAGTTTTTGTATTGTATATCTAGTTAAAGGGACTGTACGCATAATTTCAAGGGACTCTCCTAGCAAAGATGGCAATACTCGATTCACAACGGTACCCTTGAAAGCTTTGTCTGACCAAGTATGAATTTGATATCCATGTTCTTGTTTCTTTAAACTATTTATTCTTATTTGGGGCTTCTCTGCAAAAGTGACTTTTGCATTTCTTACTTTATAAGAAACAATTGAGAAATTATCAGACCAATGCACTTGCACATTTTTATCAGATTAAAGTTTCAAGGGTACTGTTGTAAATCGGGCATTGCTATCTATGCATGGATGCTCACTTGAAATTACGCTTACAGTCCCTTTAAGTTCAGGATATCAGCGGCTTAGCTTTCCCGGATTAAATACAAAAATTACCAACTCTGGAAAATATATAAAGGTGTGTTGTTTATTATTATCACCAAAATCTGAAAATAAATTAACTGTTTTTTCTCTTCTGTTTAGTTGAAAATGTGAGGAATGTAATTAATTCTCGTGATAAATTAACCAGGGATAATTGTAATCCTTCCTACACTCAGGTTAAGCCTCTTTTTATAAATGTTTTTGTCAATATTTTTAATACAGATGGCCGGGGGCCCCCCCCCCCCTTCCCCCCCCCCTCCTCGTTAAAAATGGAAAGACTGTCTAGACATGGTAGATGAGCTGAAAGTGCAGTATTCTAGAGAGTTATTTCAGGATTCTTGAGGCCTATGACTAAATAGCTAATTAGTTTACTGTAGCATTTTTGTAACGTTTATCATCGTCGTAAATAAAAAATTTAAAAAAACGATTCTCAAAATCATCCCATCAGAATGGACAATACAGTCGGATTTTAAAGATTGTATTTGTGTTCTTGCTGAACAATTATACACAGTAAAAAAGTCACAAATGAATCCTGAATTTTCTCTCCAAAACTGTTCTTTCTGCTCAACTAACATGTCTTGCCAGTCTCTCCCTTTAGGCGTCAAATAGGATACGTATAGTTATGTAATTATTTCACATTTTGTAGTCGATCTTTAAATAAAAAAGTTTTAAAAAATTGATGCATTAGAACAAAAAATTCGACGACTTATTGAATCGCCAGGGGGAAGTTGAACTGACTGAGCATTTTTAAAAACCTGTTTTGATCTGTTAAATACCAAGTTTTAAGCATAATTCGTCCTAAACCCTCTTCTCCGATTTATGATCACTCCCTTTATTAAAGGTTGCCGCCTGGACGGTGAATAACCGTGAGATTGCTCATCAGCTGGTTTGTCTTCACATAGATTATATAATCACAGATTATCCAGGTAGAATCATAGATTATATAATCACAGATTATCCAGGTAGAATCATAGATTATTACAGATTATCAATGTAAACTTCCAAGTTTATCATAATATTAGAATTTAAGAAGAAGTATTTTAGATTTAAGATTTAACTCAAAAGTTGTATTTTAACATTTTAACATTTCAAATCGTCTTAACATTTCATACTCAAATGAATAAAAAAAAAATCTTTCATTTTCCCATTTTCTTGTATATGCAATACGCAATAAGCATACCTTGTCTGTATATTTGTTTATCTCAGCTATATAAAAATTACCAACTTCAAACAACTTGAAAAATTTAACAGATTTTTATGTTTTCCTTAGCGCATTTCCAAAATTTGAGAAAAATATTGCATTTTTAAACATTTCCTGGGTTTTGTAGGATCCCGAAAACCTTAAGGTTATTTGGTTCAACCACTTTAACGTTACCTTGATACATACTAACAGCTAATTATGCGTATATACATGAAATACAACCAAAATATTTGAAATTATAATATTATTATAAAGATTTATTCACACACAAAGATATAAATACATATATAAATGGTGTAGTTAAAATTTGTTTAAATAAATTTTTTTTTTTTTTTTTTTTTTTTTTAANTAATTAAGCAGTCAGAGCTGAAGTCAAATAATGCATCACTTTTCATTGCTTTCATTTTATTTAGTGCATCTTTGACTGACTGGCTGTTAACTTTATTTATATCATCCTGTAATCCATGATGAACTCTTTCTTGTATATTTTGCTGCACTTTATCAAAATCTTCTCCTAGAGTATGCTGGGAGTACAGATTTTCATAGATTTCTTGAAAGTGATTTGCAATATTCTGGGCCCCAACTTCTCCATCTATACAATTTGAAATTGTTGTATTTTGTCCCCGGAATTTCTTAATTTCTTTGAATATATCACCTCCTCCATTGAGCAATTTTTGAGTAAATTTATCTTGAAGTAATTGACTTTTGGCTCTCTTTAATCTTCTTATAGAATATTTATACTGCATGTGAGCATTTCGCTGCAAAATAAACAGTTCTCCCTCTCTTGGCCTCCCAGCTGCTTGCCAAACACCAAACCAGAACTTACTTTCAGCCTGATATGGTTTTACATATTCATTCCAACCTAAGATCCCTTTTGATTTTTCATTTGCCAGTCCTCCTGATTTTGGTAGGCACAACTTTGCTGCATTATCTATAGCTTCACATATTCCAGTAGCATACTCATCAATACTGGCATCATGATTCTGACAATGGAGAGTGTAGCAAAGGTTGCATTCCTGTGGTAAGCCTAGAGTATTAAGTCTTGTATCTAGATTATCTCTATAATATACTTGCTGCTCTAAAGATGCTTTATTATTATTATTGGAATATTTGACTAGAACGGGTTGACCGGTTTGCTGATTGTGCCTTGAGGTTAAAACAAGACAACTGTCCAGCGGTAAATATTTAAATTTATAAATTTTGTTTATAATAGGAATCTGTTTCATGCAAAAAGATCGCCGTTAAATACAGAAAATCCTTATTTTAATTAATTTAGCTTATATAAGAGTACGGCAGAGAAAGTGCTTTTACTTTTAGTGTTTAAAAGAAGCTATAGCGTAATTTCAAGCGATCCTTCAAGGAAAGATGGCAATGCCCGATTTACAATGGTACCCTTCAGGGGCGGATACAGGATTTATACGAGAGGGGTGCTAGATTTATGTCGGAACAAAAACATCCAAATTTAGGAACAAAATTTTTTTAAATATAGATATTTTTCCTGTTTTGCACTAGGTTTTCTTTCCCTTAAGTGCTATTGTGGAGCTATTCTGAAATCTGAGGGGGCTACGGGGGCGACATCAGGGGGACGCGAGGGTCCTGCCTCCCCCCTGTATCCGCCCGTGGTACCCTTAATAGCTTTGTCTTAACAAGTCTGAATTTATGTTTTTGTTTAAAAAAGTGACTTGCGCATTTCTTGCTTATAATTGAAACAAAGGAGAAATTATTAGAACTAAACACTTTAAGAGGTAGGAAAACAACGTCATTTTCATCAGTTTTGGTGGGATTGAGTTTTCAAGGGTACTGTTGTAAATCTTCCATTGCCATTCTTGCATGGAGGGTCACTTAAACAATACCCTAACAGGGCTATTTTCTTTATTTGACTATACAACGATAGAATGTTCTTCCAAAGTAACTCATCAAGATTAAATTGTTTATTTTTTTCTCCTAGTTTTGTGGTCTAATTACATTAGAGGCTCAGTATGAGACCAGTGTAATGTTCCTTTGTCATTTGTAAATTTACAACCTTTATGTAAATTGTCATTTACACATAAATTGTAATTTGAATATAATTTATTAGAAATGTAGACGTTTATGGATGAAAATGTACAAGTAACTGAAGGATTTGTAAATTGTAAATGCATAAGCGTATAATGACAATAATTTATTATTGACTAAACTAATTTCTAAATTGTAAATTGTAAATTGTAAATTGTAAATTGTAAATGCCTAAGCATATAATGGCAATAGTTTATTATTTACTAAACTAATTTGTAAATTGTAAATTGTAAATGCCTAAGCGTATAATGGCAATCGTTTTTTTTTGACTAAACTAATTTGTAAATTGTAAATTATAAATTGTAAATTGTAAATTGTAAATTGTAAATGCCTTAGCGTATAATGATAATAATTTATTATTGACTAAACTAATTTCTAAATTGTAAATTGTAAATTGTAAATGCCTTAGCATATAATAGCAATAATTTCTAAATTGTAAATTGTAAATTGTAAATGCCATAGCATGGCAATAGTTTTTTATTGACTAAACTAATTTGTAAATTGTAAATTGTAAATTGTAAATTGTAAATGCCTAAGTGTATAATGACATTATTTCAATATTGAATAAACTAACTTGTAGATTGTAAATTGTAAATTCTAAGTTGTAAATTGTAAATTGTGAATGCCGAAGTGTATGATGCCATTATTTTAATATTTAATAAACTTATTTGTAAATTGTAAATTGTAAATTGTGAATGCTTAAGTGTATATTGACGTAACTAATGTCATTATTGTGTAAATTGTAAATACCTAACTGTGCAATGACATTATTTTAATATTAATTAAACTAATTTGTAAATTGTAAATTGTAAATTGTAAAATTGTAAACTGTAAAATTGTTAATGTATGGGACATTAGTTTCAAAACTAACACTTGGCCCATTTCCCAACATTGAGAGTTAGAAATTGGCACAAATTGAAAGACGGGGTTTTTGGAATTCCGGCCCATATCCAGAGCAAATGTCGATAGTAAAAACTATAACCATGCATTTTATTAAACATGACGAGGACAACAATTCCCATTTTCAAACTTTTTTTTAAATCAAAATTATAATAGGAGTTCTTCTTATATTAAATCTCTTGACCGTTTTTAAGACAATGTCAGGTATTCCATTTTCAAACATATCCTGAATTTGAAACATTGTCACGTTTTCGAGACAAAACCTACTTTTCTGTTTTTTAGTATAATCCACAATCCAAAACAAAACTAATTTTTATAACTTACAAAATAAATCACTAAAAACTAAAATTATCTTATGAAGCTAAATCAACCGTTAAATTAGAGAATATCGATGATTTATTTTCAAGCATTTTAAACAAACAGTTTCCCGCATTTCTACAGGTTGTCCCAATAAACATGGGAATTCAGCGACGAATTCGATATCGTCTTTTTTAATAAGTTTTTGATTTAGTATAACGATACCTACTGAGAAAGTTGTAATCTGTATGAGTTTCGTCTGGTATGTTCACATTTTGTTTGTTTATGTTTTGACTGCATACGGTTGTACTTAGTATAGACACATCTTTATAGCCATTTACCGCTTTCATAAAATAAACTCTAGCAGACATAATAATATTATGATTTTTGAAATTAGGTATTACAATACTAATTCATAACAAAGACGATATCGAATTCGTCACTGAATTCCCATGTTTATTGGGACACCCTGTAGTTAAATCTATATTGTAAGAACAAGTGATATTACTATTTTCATTTCTCAATGCTGTAATGATTTTTAAATTATAAAAGAACAGTTTGTTTTTATTTACTATTTATATTTTACCTTATCAAAAATCCTTTTTGTGACGTAAGTGCGTAAATGCTTAAAAATTGGCATTAATACGAATTTCGGTAATTGTCTGAAAACTAGGATATGTTCCGAAAACGCAAGTCGCAACATGAGCTGAATCCGGTAATTGTTTCAAAATAGGGATATGTTCGAAAATGAAATCAAGAATCATCAAAAACTAATTCTTACACCTTATTATTATTTTAAAATTGACATTTATTGTTTCAATATTTAGTTTTAGCCATTTTTTATAAAATATATGGTGTAATTTTGTTCTACTCGTCTTGGATTTAAAGATATATACTCTTGAAAAAGATAACTTTGCAGAATTCTAACACTCGAGTGTTAGAAATTGGCCAAATCCAGAATATGTGTGTATATTTATGATAATATCATCATACAATTTACAGTTTTGTTTAATAAAATTAGATAAAAACCGCTTTTATGTTTGCCAACGTTAAAATAAGTATTGTTGATACTTATGCATTTATTATTATTTACTCAAGCATTTACGATTAAGAATTTACAATTTACAAATTATTTTTGCCGACTTAAAAAAATCTTGGGTGATACACAATATGCATTTACAATTTACAATTTACAATTTACAAATTATTTTTGCCGACTTAAAAAAAACATGGGTGATACATATGCAATATGCATTTACAAATTACAATTTACAAATTATTTTTGCCGACTCAAAAAAAATATTGATGATACTTGGGCATTTACAATTTACAATTTACAAAACAAAAAAATAATCGCAGTTTACACTAATGCATTTTCAATTATCTGTTAATAATTCAAAAAATATAAATGTTTATTTTTCAATCTATTCACGTATGAAATATCAATTTACATAAAGGTTGTAAATTTACAAATGACAAAGGAACATTAAACACATATACACTGGTCTCATATCGTGCCTGGTATCTCTAATTAACTTATCGAAATATCAACATGGTTCTATCGTATTAGAGTTTTTTGCTGTACATAACTTACAAAGTAAATCGTTTAGATTAAATTTATTAAAGAATTAAAGTATGTTTATTTGTTCTCCTAGTTCTGTGGCCGGATATATTTACCTGTGTGTGGGTCTGATGGCACTACTTATAGTAATGAGTGTATGATGAGGTGGGAAAACAAACTGGAAATTTATGTCTCAAGGGACAACATAATGTCCCATGGGACAACATCATGTCCCTAAAATAATTTATTCTGTTGGCTATTAGTGAAACAAGTTTATTAAAATAAGATCGACTATTATATCATATCTGTTCGGTTCCATAGTAGTAAACCTATCGTGTAAGAATTCCCATTATTACACGGTTCAGGAGGAACAATTTTAATATTGTTCGCTTACTAGCGTTTAAGAATGCTTATTCTTACACTGAAGNNNNCAAAATCATAAGAAATTAATAAACAAACAAACTAAACTAAGGAAACAATCGCACCACATGCATTACTTTCAAATTAAGAACCAATTTTTACTTATGAAATTTGAAACAGTCGGATTTCACCAGAAATATCTTTTACTATAATTTCTTGGGTATGTGCCCATGGAACCTCACAAATATGATATAATAATAATCTTATGAGGATAAAAATGTAATAATGAAATTCTTAAACTCGATGAACTAATCTTGATGCATTCTTTAACTCAGGCCTGCGGCCTTCGTTAAAGAATACATCAAGATTAGTTCATCTCGTTTAAGAATTTCCATTATTACATTTTTTTCCTCATAAGATTATCATATTATAATTTTTAATATCTGGATTATATCAAATTTAATTCGGGATCAGCGTATACCCCTTTCATTTTTTGGGAACTCTCCCTTTAATATTTGAATTTATGGTTTACTGCAGCTTCTACAATATGTGTCATTATCATGCTGAAAGTTACTAATCTTCAAGGAAGTTTAAAGTTCTTTTTAATTCACTTGATAGTTTCAAAGTTTCATCATTAAATCCGCGTTATGTTTTTTTGCATATTGATTTCTGATAAAACTGTATTTTTTTTCTTTAGATTTCATGCTTGTGAGACAAAAGAGATAATTACTTTGGTGCATAATGGCAGGCAAGTTTTATAATAAGGGATTTTTTCCTAAAAATAGACAACTAACTTCTCCGTTTCTTTCTCAATACAACAGTTGGTTGCAATGTAAATAAACAAAAGAGAACATTCTTTATTTTGGAAGTGATATTTTTTAAAGCAACAATCAACCAATTATCTCTATATATAAAGTAGTAATCTCAGTTTGTCTGTCTTCGATGTCCGATTCTAACTCATGAATTTCTGGACCGATTTGCCTCAAATTTTGATTGTGCAACTTGGGTATAATCCCACGGGAATATTATTAGCTTGGTTTAAAAGTTCTAAATTGACTGGGGTTGAGTTTAAACGGCGAGTTTAGGTTTCCAGGCAAAGCCGAGTTTCCAAGCTATTAAATCATACTTAAGCCCTAGATATAGAGTGTTTGTTTTTCGAGATAAAACCTAAGCATATCCATTGTCAATGTTTTTTTTTAGTTTGAACGGTAAACTTTTTTTAATTGAATACTTTTTAAGTGAGAGGAAATGTTTTTAAATGTAAAGCCTTATTTTTTTTTTTTTTTTGTATTGTTTAGGTGTCAAGAACAACTAAATACAAGGTACAAGATTAATGGAAGCTAATTTCGATTGATTATATTTCAACAATAAGATTTACTTCAAAAGTTGTTTTTATTATAGTTGGGAATCGGTATGGATATCTATTATAAACCTTGCTTGTCTGTCTGCTTGCACGTTTTCATTTAATAAACGTAAAACGGCTGAACCAATTTGGCGCAATTTTTTTCTGGGACCTCACTTGATTCCAGAGAAGGTTTATCGATGCTTAAAATGACAGAAAGTTGTCTCCAAAATTTTTTATTTTCGTAAAATTTTAAAAATTTGTCAGCTCTAAAAAGTGGAGAAAATCATTATCATTTTGAGTGACTATGAAGCCGACATTTTTGTAATTTAAGCGCAAGCAGAGTAACTAACCTTAATAAACAAAATTGTTCACAACCTAGCCAACCTTACCGTTTAAAATGTCCCTGCAAGAGCCACATTGTTTCATATTTTCTAACTCCAAAAATCATAATTTTTTTCAAGAATTTTTAATGTACATTTTAAATGTTTTGAATTCAGTGGGATGAATATCAATTTTCTTCCGTAAAATTGAGAGTAATAATTATAATTATTAATATAATTATAAATGACCCATAACTGCTTTACTAACGGAAAAAAGTAATTTTTGAGTGATTTTACCTTCAACAATCAACAATGGTAAGAAATTAAAACTGATTCTATTAACCTCAGTTTGATCAGACAACGAGTAGGGAACCCTGTTTATGAAAAATCTGAAGGAAACCCTGGAAATTTTTTAGTCCCTAATAATAAAGAAGGTAAACAAGTGTGATGGATTCTTTTTTTCTTTTAAAGGGAGGGTTCGTGATAAGATGAAAGGGAGGGTTCGTGATAAGATGAAAGGGAGAAAATGAAAGGGGTAAAACTGAAAATTGTTCAATTTATCAAAAAAAATTAAAATCAATCTCACATTTACTTTTAAAATATATGGACAATCTTTCAATAAAAGTTTTATCCCTGTCAAGAAGTCGCGAGAAGATCAGCTGCTGCATTGTTGAAACCTGCAGGAGAGAAGACGACATTTGCAGAGAACACCCGAGGAGTAGACCAAACTAAGACGACATATATTCATGATAAAGGAATGAGGGATGAATCGTATTTATTTGTGTGTGTTTATATGTTGCGATTTTTTTTTATGGATTTAACTGTTTCCATTAATGGGACTGTTTCCATTACAAGGACTGTTAATGGGACTGTTTCCATTAAAGGGACTGTTAAAGGGACTGTTAAAGGGACTGTTAAAGGGACTGTTTCCATTAAAGGGACTGTTAAAGGGACTGTTTCCATTAAAGGGACTGTTTCCTTTAAAGGGACTGTTTTCATTAAAGGTTTGACTGTTTCCATTAAAGGTTTGACTTTTTTCCATTAAAGAGACTGTTTCCATTAAAGAGACTGTTTCTATGAAAGGAACTGAAGGGACTGTTTCCATTAAAGGCTTGACTGTTTCAATTAAGTTTCAAGTGACCCTCCATTTAAGGAGGGCCCTGCCCAAAAGTTAACCCTTAAATCTTTTTCTGATCTATAATGTTGAAGGTATCGTCGTTTAACCTATTCCTCCAATTTCCACTAAAGAGGAATCTTCTTCATTCTTAATTAGAAGAAGCCTTTGCGAATCGTACATTCCACTAGAGGGTCACGTGACGTCTACAGTCCCTTTTCAACTTACATTTTCTTAACAGTAATATTTAAAATTATGTTTTTATATTTCATTTTTATTTTGCATTGATAAAAATATCACCCTTAAAATTCGATAGAGTTCGCAACCAATACTTATAAAGATTTAGATTTAGGTGAGAAGTTGTTTTTTTTAACCATTAACTTTTTAAAATTTATTTCTTTTAAAAAAATTTTTCTTCTTAAATTATGGGGTTTAAACCCTACAAAACAGTATATTTTAACCGTTAAGTTAGTTTTGTTAGATTGCAATGAAGAATCAAATAAACGACGCTTTTTTAAAATCTTATTTTTCTTTATGCTTTAAACTCATCGACAAAAGAGGGATATGAGTAAATTAATTAAATTAGGTCTAAAATTAACAAAATTTTAAAACTTTATTTATATTCATTAAATTAGAACTAAATGTGTTAGGCTGAAATATTATATTTTTTTTCTGTTCAGATACTGAACTTCTCTGTGATTTCTCCTTTTGTCGAGGGGAACAGGTAGAGGATGGTAGAAGGGGGGGGGGCGAAAACAGGGGGAGGTAATAAAACGGGGAGGGGGGGGTTGGGTGGGGATTTACATAATATATAAACTGCAATTTTCTTTTAATATCTTTACTATCAAAATTCCTAAAAACCGATCGAATCAAAATTTGTTGGCCAGACTGGGCGACATTTAAAAATGTTGGCGGGAAAAAAGGCGACATTACGGTTTTTGAAAATCCACCAATTTAAAAAGAAAATCCGGGAACATTTATGTTCATTTAAATACAATGAAAAAAATGGAGGCTTGAAAATCAACAGTTTAAAGCTCGTTGAATATTTTACAAGAAAAAGTGTATATACTAGTAATATAACTCATGTTTCGTATCAAAGGTATTTTAAATCCATTGAATTAGCTTGGATTAAACATTATATAATTATTTCAGGGCTATAATCCAGTTTGTGGGAAGAATGGATTAACCTATGATAATCAGTGTTCTCTTCTACAAACAAAGTAATGGAAAAAAGTATCTAAGGGGTTATCATTACCTGTTGTATAATTAAGTATTAACTGAAAGTTTCATTTTTTTCCATAAGGAGAGAAATGCATTTTTAATGTTTTTAATGATTTTGTGATTTGTTTTATTATCTTGTCCTTTTTATAACATATTCCTGTTTTGGTTATTTTTATTTGCTTTGTGATAAAAACATATTTTTCATTTAAACTTTGATACAGAAAATGTAATGGTATTACTAGGAACTAAATCGTAGATTCTGTGGAGTCCTATAAAGAATGCCAATTCAACGAGAGTCTTGAAATATGAAGTTACTTATCACTGAGTTTGAGCGCAAACCCGACGTTGAAATACATCAATTTGTGTGGTTTCGTTTTGAGAATAGTTTTTTTTAAATATTGAATAACGACGACAAAAAATGTATCACAAATTTGACAGTAAAGTAAATAGTTTAGGAACAAGTTGAGAAAAAGTTAACTCTTATCATCGAAAATAAGTAAGCTATTCAGTTAATAGTTTCTGTAATCTCTTCACAAACATTTTCTGTAGATTTTCTGGAATTTTTATTGAAAAGACGACATTTGGAGAATTTGTTGAAATCTGCGAACAAATTCGCAAAGAAGAAGAAATTTAATATCATGATGAAAAAAAATAATTGGTTCTAGCATTTATTTATTGATAAATTTTTGTTGAGAAATATGTTTTTAAGCATCTAATTAGTTTTCTGTAGAACTTTCGATGGATTTTTCGTCGTCGTTTTTTTATAATTAAAAAAAACCAATTCTCAAAACGTACCCACTCAAATTGATGATTTTGAACGTCGATTTTGCGCTCAAACCAGGGGGCGGAAACGTCATGTGTGTGTGTCTGTACCAAAAGAGTGTGTGTCAGTTTACTGTACCAAAGGTTTGTACTGTAGGTTTATACAGTACGTAAGAATCTCGGGATTTGTACAGTCTAGGAGAGTACATTTGTTTATTGTTAATTGTTTACTTAAACATATGTTTAATATACATGTAATATATTATTTACATATTTAAGTCAACACTATAAAGCCAAATTTTCATGCAAAGAATATAATTTTATTAAAGTTTACAATAAACTACTCGTTATTCAAAAATTATAATCGACGACATTGTTCTACAATTTCCTTGACTGTAGTCATGTTGTGTGTTTGTACCAGAAGAGTTTGTGTCAGTTTACTGTACTGGTCTGCAAAGCAGTGCGACTGGCTTTCTCTTGCCGGACCAGCGCCATTTCCTTTCCCTTTATTCCTGTTCCCTGGCTCAAACTCAGTGATTATATATCATGGAAACCGTTTTATATGTCTCAAATGTTCCTTAAATACCTCATTTTCAGTTAAACTATACCATAACTTGCCGGTCACTCCCTTTAAAATGATCCCCCAGTTAAAGAGTTGCATGTCTGATTCATAACTGCAGTACCCTGTACACTTTTATCTGGTTAAAATGATTCGGAAGATATCGTTAATTTTGCCTGACCACTTATTACAGAAAAACCAAAATAGAAAATTATCAATTTTTAGATAGAAAATCTTTTACATTTTTGCTCAACTGATGCCGTTATTAAACAGTCTAGTAACTATATTAGATTGAGGGTTTCTTGAAATTACGTTAAAGTAATTTTAATTAAGATGTTATGGAGAACAAGTACATCTGGATTATGAAGGGTCTTGTAAAACTACTCCTTGTACTGAGAACTGTAGTGAGATGGAGTTACCAGTTTGTGGGACAGATAGGTACATTTCCAATTACATGGTTTACATGCCTGACATGGTGTTGGGTAGCTTCCAAAGGCATTTTTCCAAGGGACAATTCCCCAAGTGGCAGCTTTCAAAATGTGCAATTTCCTATTTGGCAACTTCCCATAGGTTAGGATATGCCTTCTCATGGGAGTGGGTACAAAACGCCCAAAAACAAAAATCCCAATAACAAAACGCCCAATGGAACAAAACAGTAACACCCAATTACAAAACGCCCAATGTTACAAAACGCCCAATGTTACAAAACGCCCAATGTTACAAAACGCTCAATTGCAAAACATCCAACGCTACAAAACGTCCAGTTGTTTGTCTGTGAAAAAAAGACAGTAATGGATTTCTCTGTATGTGTTAGACTAATAGTTTTGTGTGTTTTAAACGTTTTTACTTATAACTTATTTACGTCTAAAAGACAAAGTAAGGATTATCTTTGACTGTTCAGATCACAACACAGTATACATTCTGCAGTATGGAATTTTTTCTACAACTTGACATTATATTTCCAATTGTTTTAAATAACAACATAGTTAATTGATGCCCCTAATATCAGTCAATCAACATTTGAGATCCTATTAGATTGAATTATATGGACCTCTGCCTAGTTTTTAGATGTTTTTTTTTTCTCTTTCAAAGTATCACATGTTCAGGTTGACCTACAGAAACACCTGCTGCCTAGAGTGTTGATGTCTCCAGTAAATAATGTTTAGATTGACCTACTGGAACACCTGCTGCATAGAGCGTTGATATCTCCAGTATACAATGTTTAGGTTGACCTACAGGAACACCTGCTGCATAGAGCATTGAAATTTCCAGTAAATAATGTTTAGGTTGACCTACAGGAACACCTGCTGCATAGAGCATCGATATCTCCAGTATATAATGTATAGGTTGACTTACAGGAACACCTGCTGCATAGAGCATTGATATTTCCAGTAAATAATGTTTAGATTAACCTACAGGAACACCTGCTGCATAGAGCATTGATATCTCCAGTAAATAATGTTTCGATTAACCTACAGGAACACCTGATGCATAGAGCATTGGTATTTCCAGTAAATAATGTTTAGGTTAACCTACAGGAACACCTGCTGCCTAGAGTGTTGATATCTCCAGTAAATAATGTTTAGGTTGACCTACAGGAACACCTGCTGCATAGAGCATTGATATTTCCAGTAAATAATGTTTAGATTGACCTACAGAAACACTTGCTGCATAGAGCATTGATATCTCCGCATATAATGTTTAGGTTGACCTACAGGAACACCTGCTGCATAGAGCGTTGATATCTCCGCATATAATGTTTAGGTTGACCTACAGAAACACCTGCTGCTTAGAGCGAGCTAGCTGTCTTGATAAAGATGATAAAGGAGATGAAATACACGTCTGGCATAGAGGGGTCTGTGGGGATTGTACTTTTATTTGTACAAGGTAAATAAACGTACTGCACAGTGGACTTTGTATCTTTATATTGCATGATTTTGAACTTACTTGCTTTCTAGCTCAGGTCCCAGTATTATACCATCTAGTACATATACTGTATTATGTACCACATAGAATAATGTGTAATAAATAGAATTTACTTAAGTTGTCGGTGTTGTATTGTACTTTATTGTTTCAAACTAGTTAATCCCTCCAGCTCACTTATACTATTGTACCAACCCCTCCAGCTCACTTATACTATTGTACCATGGGTATTCATCATTGTTCCAATTCTACTGTATATTGTACTGTACTCGAAATTAATGTTCTATCAACTGTAAATTGTACTCCAGGGAATTCTGTCCTGTTTGTGGAGCTAAAAATAAAATCTACGAACTATGTATTTAATTGAATGTATGTATATTGTACAACATACTTAACATTGTAGATTGGGTGTATATTGTACTACGTACTCAACATTGTTTTATGTACTGTATATTGTACTGTACTGCAGTGAGTTTCGTCCTGTTTGTGGATCTAACAATAAACGTTTAACCAACCTATGTACTTCATTGCCTGTATTTTTTTACAACGTACTCAACATTACTGTCCAATGTACTGTAAATTGTACTATACCGCAGGGAGTTCCGTCCTGTTTCTGAATCTAACAATAATAGATTAACCAACCTATGTACTTCATTGCCTGTATTTTGTACAGCGTACTCAACATAATGTTTAATGTACTGTATATTGTACTGTACTGCAGCGAGTTTCGCCCTGTTTCTGAATCTAACAATGATAGATTAAACAACCTATATAGGTAGTGAATATTATATAACGTACTCTTAAATTGTTCTATGTACTGTAAATTGTACTATACTGCAGTGAGTTCCGCCCTGTTTCTGAATCTAACACTGATAGATTAACCAACCTATATAGGTAATAGGTAGTGAATATTGTATAACGTACTCTTTAATTTTTCTATGTACTGTAAATTGTACTGTACTGCAGGGAGTTCCGTCCTGTTTCTGAATCTAACAATGATAGATTAACCAACCTATATAGGTAGTGAATATTGTATAACGTACTCTTAAATTGTTCTATCTACTGTAAATTGTACTGTACTGCAGAAGTTTCGTCCTGTTTGTGGGTCTAACAATAAAAGTTAAACCAACCTTTGTACGACGTACCTAGTTCAGTGAATATTGTACTAAGTCCTCAACATTGTTCTATGTACTGTATAGAGTAAATCGTACTACATACTCAACATTAATGTTCTATGTACTGTATAATGTACTGTACTGCAGGGAGTTCCGTCCTGTTTGTGGGTCTAACAATAAAAGCTACGCCAACCTATGTACAATGGAGGAACAAACTTGTCGAGACAATACTCCAGTTTGGTGAGTTCCTTAAAGAAATGATTTATTCTATAATACAGTTAAAGTTCCCTTTTGTAGACTTAAAATTGGAAACAGAATGACTCAATCTATTATCTTACAAAACCTTTTTATCATATCAATATCACTCAAATCTAGATTACTGTTTTATAGGTAGTCTTAATTACCATTTAAGTCAGTAAATAACAAATTATAAATGTTTGTCACCTTTTCCTCTAATAAATTGTGAAACCTAAGATCTTGTTGATTTCCAGGTGGATGCATGAAGGTAGATGCAAAGGTGACTCAAATAAATCTGAAAATCTACCAGAAAATACTGGGAACTCGTATATTAAACCAATCACCCAATCAACCGAAAACTATCAACCTATCTCCCAATCCTACAATTCTGCTACTCATGCGCCATCTTTTAAACCATTCCCCCCACCCTTGCAATCCAACCCACCTGGATACCAATCACCTCCCCTGGCTCTACCCTCACAGCCCAACCAACCCCAAGATCAACCATCTCCACCACCCTCTCAATCCAATCCACCGGGATATAAACCATCTCCCCCACCCTTGCAATCCAACACACTTGGATACAAACCATCTCCCCCACCCTCTCAACCCAACCTACTTGGATATCAACCATCCCCTTCACCCTCTCAATCTAATTCACCCGGATATAAACCATCTCCTCAAATCATGCATCCTATTCCTAACTCATCCGGAAACCTACCATTATCCCCATCCAATCAACCTTTAATACCCGGATATCAACCACCGATCCCCTCCTATCAAACAACCTCTTCAAACAATCAATTATCACCTTCATCATATCAACCAACCCCAATCAATAATCAACCATCTCACTCATATCAACAAACCCATTCTAACTATCAACAACCTGCCTCATTTCAATCAATCCCATCAAATAATCAACCATCATCTTCCTCCTTAAAACCAAACCCAATCAATAATCAACCATCAACCTCACACCAATCATCACCCTCGTATCAACCAAACCAATCCAACATTCAACCATTATCTTCAAATCAACCAACCCCTTCCAATAATAAACCATCATCTCTCTCATATCAACCAAACCCATCCATTAATCAACCGAAACCCCCCTCATATCAACCAAATCCCCCCTCTCATCAAGCAAACCTTCCATCCTTCCATCAGTTTCCCCAACCCTATACAACTACTAGGGTTCCTGGACACTCCAATACAGATAATATGAAAACAGTCGAGAAGAAATATCTCCAGCCTATCCGACCAGAAGTCGAAGAGAAAGACGACATTTTTGATGAGTTTCTGGATAATTTCAACTCTATTATCGATTGAATATGTATTGACTAATTTTTAATATATTTTATCCCTAGTTGTTGAAATTTTCATTACCATAATATTAAGCCTTCTTTAGTCAAAGTTTCTGTGAATGACTATACGACATTTAATTACGTTTCTTTTTATTTGATTGATATGAGGGTTTTTGGATTCGACGCTTGCATAACAACAAAAGTAATTCTATATAACATTTTTGGTGATGTTTTGAATCCATGGAAAATAAACATCACTGGAAAAGAATGGAAATTGGAATATACGAAACTGATGAACTTTTCGAATGTCGTCTTCCAACTAATTAGAATTAAGTGTAACGTTACGTCGGTCCGACGAGGGAGGGAGTCCAGAGTTCCTCAAATAGTAATCACCGCCACCCAAATCTGTTTTGCGGCAAGCGCACTCCTCAATTGGTAATCTCCACCACCTCAAATAGTAATCACCGTAAAATTTTGTTTTTGTGATTTGAATTTAATGCACTTTTAACACAATTTTCGACATCTATCGGGGTTTTATGGCATCTGTATTGACTTAAACTAAATTTTCTAATTATTTTCAGATTTTTTTGGTCAACAAAAACTGAGAATCAAGGCACAGTTCATTTTAGCCGAATCTTAGATCCAATTGGCCACTTTAATGACTGCATTTCATGATTGGCGTCAAGATACAAAAAAGGTCGGGCTGCCTGTTTACTAAAAATTATCTCATCGCGCACAAAGTAATATCCATCTCCATTTAAAGGATATTTTCAAAAAACCTTTACAGTGTTTAGATTTTTGTATTAGCCAACTCGAGTTCAACATCTACAACAAAACTAATTATATGCATAGAAAGGACTTAAAATTTACTAAAAATTATCTCATCGCGCCCAAAGTAATATCAATCTTCATTTAAAAGATATTTTCAAAAAACCTTTAGTGTTTAGATTTTTGTATTTGCCTACTCGAGTTCAACATCTACAAAAAAACTAACTATATACATAGAAAGAACATAAAATTTTGAAAAATTAGTCTCATCACACCAACTACGGAAAATGAAGTATTAAGTCCACTAATAATGGGTTAAAGTTTCCTCTCTATATAAGGAGTTTAAAACAACATTCAGAGGAAAATGCCGCAAACATTCTTAAAGCGAAACTTGAAACTAAAAAACGTAATATATTTCTAGCACTTAGTGTGGCATATTTATTGATTTATTTTCGAAACTAAGGAGCAATAAAGAAAGCTTCAGCAATATTGTACACCATAGGGCCATTAAAAGAGGTCAATATGGTCTTATTTTTAAGAAATAAACGATTTAATTTTATGCTTTTTTGGGGTGATTACTATTTGAGGTGGTGGAGATTACCATTTGAGGAGCGCGCTTGCCGCAAAACAGATTTGGGTGGCGGTGATTACTATTTGAGGAACTCTGGACTCCCTCCCTCGTCCGACAGCATTTGAACTGCGGATCTTGATAGTATGTACAGTGGACACTTAAAGGATCTTGCTGTTCCCGTTATGATGATGATAATTTTTCCGATTAAACAATCATATAATGAAAAAAACACAGATTTTTTTGAGTTCGGTAAATATTGCGGCCAAGTCCAATGTTTTATAAAAGGAAAATGCTAAATGGGCACGTAAATGTTTATTCTAACCCCTCCCCCCTCTATTTACATCTTATATTGACCGTTTTCCCCTATTCGACCGAATTTTTCTCATATCATGGCTGTTCTTCCAGTTTGTTTTCTGACTGAAATCGTTCAATGAATTTATAGATAAGACAATTGTGGAGGGAGTATCTTTTATTTATAACTTTCTAATTGAACAAAGTGAATCTTGACTATAATATTTAATTATATTATATTATAATATTGAATTATAAAATGTCCGAGAGTGAGTTTACTGTGTATCGTCTACGATGGTATATCTTAGGAATATATTCTCTCTTTGCTAGTTCTCAGGTTAAGATAATAAATCAAATATTAAAACGACAATAATTTTGAAACAAGGGAAGTTCAAGAAGAATATAAATATTTCCTTCATTTTTGGCTCAGGCAAAGATTTCAAGGATAACGTTGTGAATCGGGTTCGGTTAACTCTTTAAATGTAAAATCATTTGAAATTACACCAGTATTGTCCCTTATTAAGTTAATTAAGTGGATCTCCCAATAATGAGCACCGATACAAACTGATCACTGGTTTATCAAGTTTGAGATTAATCTGGATTATATAAAGAATGCTATTTCCAGGGAGGACTTCAGCATAGATAGTACTCTTTGCGTTCCGGAAACCCCTCTAGAAACTTATAAATTTCACTGATCCTTGGGGGTTGTGAGCCCCCATAGCCCTCTTCCCTTCTGGTGCCCCTGAACTCCATGCTTAGTAGAAAAAAAGACGACTGTTTGACTCATTTTTTATCTTAAATATGAAACAAATCACTGTGCAGTGTGCATCGTATCACATTCACAAACCCAACTCACTTAATAAGTGGATTCAATAAGTGTCGTCTTCCTAAACAACAGTTGTATGGGTATCAAGAAGAGTTCTTTGCACTTAGTGACTTATTCAAAATTCATTTAACTTGAATATTGTCTAGGCCTGTATTTTTAATACCTGGGGTCCAATAGCACAGTCTGCAAAGGCAGGGTTCGGTTGGTCTGAAGCATCAGTTGCTTGGACAAATAATATTCAGATTATAGTCAGCATGCTTAGGTAGGTATACAGGGTGACGAACCAAATATTATTGGAGTTTAGCCAAAGAGAATAGAATATATATTAGAAGGGAATTTAGAGAATCTCTCGGTATGATTTTTTTTCAGTCCCTTTCAGCCTGAAAGGGAGTTCAAAGTGTACAAATCATGTAAATGTTCTCAAATTATATGCAGTGGAGTACATTAATACAGTATGTTCCCTAGACTATCTATTTCAATTTCGAATTTTTTTTGAACTGTTAAATAAACTTTATAATTAATTAGGTGAATAAAAAACATCATTTGATTTATAGTTATAACGGAAAATCATCGTTTGTAAAGTGAAAGGCATAGAGTCTATGTTCAATGATAATTGGTCAATTATGAAACCAGCCTATTTATAGATTTTCTATAAAATTTTGTTCCAGGGCCCAAAAGGTTAAATAGCATAAATATGTGAAGTACACCCGCAGTATGGAAACAGTACAACAAAATGGCCGTTTTACACTTTTTTTCTAGTAAATTCCTCTCTAATATATATTCTATTCTCTTTGAGTTTAGCACTTTCCTAGAAGAGGATCATTTATTTGGCGTACTATTCCAGCTTGTCTTACAGAGACTGTAATTGTACTGTACATCTTGCTCTAGCTGGTTAAAGGTCGGCTCGGTACATAGTCTGTATGTGTACTGTACAGCTTGCTCTGGCTGGTTAAAGGTCGGCTCGGTACATAGTCTGTATGTGTACTGTACAGCTTGCTCTGGCTGGTTTAAAGTCAGCAACCCGGTTCTTGAAATGAACAGGAGTTTACGGTGGTTGAGTCATATTTCATTTTATAAATCATAAATAAATGACAAAAAGTGTTTTAACAAAGAGTTATTAAGAATTTCAAAATGGGGTTGATTCTTCAATTTTTTCTTTACTTTTTGGTCTTTGGGTGGCGTTCAGAAGCCTGATGTTTCACTTTAGAAATATAAGCCTGCAGCATATCCGTAGTTCTTGAAAATATTTTGAAACTGTCAAAAAAACAATATGTTTCTTTCACGTTCTGTTCTCTAGACGGAAATGACGTCACATCCAATAATTGCGGAAAATGTTCAAAATTAATGAAAATATTTAATGCAGTGATTGGCGATTAAATTATTACACTCAAGACGCCATTTTATCAATAATGACTTAATTCCTCACAGTCGACAAAAAGAAGCTCATGTTAATACTTTCTAAGTTAAACTGTTCAACAGCTGCGATATAAATCAAAATTGAAATCAAAAGTCGGCTTCATTGTATTGAGATAATCACCTACAACTGCAGCTTGTTAAATTTGAAGGTGCAAACATGACAGAACACAGTCCATAAAATTTCATAAATCCATAAAACTTTATAAATCCATAAAATTTCATAAATCCATAAAATTTTATAAATCTATAATATTTCATAAATCCATGAAATTCCATAAATCCATAAAATTTCACAAATCCATAAAATTTGCCGAACGATTATCATGCTGATTAAAAGACGTAATTTCTTGTTTTTAAATGAAATTTGTTGTTGAATAATTAATTGTATCCAGAATCAAGAGTTTTTTCACGCGATATTACAGAATTGTAGATTTGTTCATACTTTAGTGGTAATATGATCAGAGCTAATAACTTAAGAATTGTGGATATCGAGATCAATTTTTGATCTCCTCTTTTTAGTTATCTCTTCACTTTGTTTCCTGGAAATTGTGTAAAATTCAACCAATAGAGTGGCGGATCCAAATCCCGAACAGCCAATTAGAAGCCGAGAAATTTTGAAATTTTGCCCACGAAATCAATGAGCGAACTCTTATTGGTGGAATCCAGTCTGGATATTCAAAATGAGAGGATTAAGCAAAAAGTGTCAATTGTGTCAACGGTGGATAAATAGATTTAGTAATCGGAATAAGGTATCCAATTCTAAAGTTTTCAGCTCTGTGTCCGAATTTAATTAATTTAACCCACGTCTCAAATCCCCCCAAACCGGTTTTAATTGACCACCGGCTTAAATCTTGAAAAATTTAATACAAATTTAAGTCGAACCAACCATATTTGAGCCGCGGCTTTAATTCTTTAAATTCGGCCTCTGGTGTTTCAGACCAAAGTGAATCACTTTGGTTTCAGACTGTGTGTTTTATAATTTTTTGTCTACACAAGTTCAGATTATTCATTTCCCAGTGTTCCCGCTAGCTATGCAGTGTTCCAGAAGCTTGGTTTGCGAAGTACTGTAGTCTGGAGTGGGTCTGGAGCTCTTGCTCTAGGAACTTTATTAAGATGTGTCTCAATGGATCCACAGATTCTGAAGATAACCAGGAACTAGATTTAATTAATACCAGGAAGTAATTGATCCGCGTAGACGTAGTTGAACCACTTATATTGTTTTCCGGTTCAAGTTGAAGTACGTATTCATGGTTTAACTACAGGGTTACCCGCATAGGATGAGACTCCAGAGATGACTGTACGGAACTAGTATACTGTTTGTTTCCTAATATTCATGTTCACTGCAAAGTGCAACTATAGACTTTAAGACAGAGAACTTATTCTATCCTTGAAATCGTCATATCTTAAGTAGGCTGGGCAAAGTTCCGTTAACGAAACGGAGGTTTTGAAAATTAACGGAAGTGTCCGTTAACGAACGGCAAAAACCGTTAATTTTTAAATCGTTAACGCAACGGATTAACGGCTTTTGAAAGAAAATAATTAACGGTGAAAAAAGAAAACGAAACAGATTTTGATTTTAAAAACGGTGAATTTCATTATTCTTATTGAAACTGCATGTCGTCTTCTGTGTTCACAATTGTTAAGATTTCATAAACCGATTTTTTTGGCATGTCGTCTTCTGTGTTGTTAAGATTTCATAAACCGCTAACGAAATTTTGTTTGCCACTTCGCGCCATTAATACTGTGATAGACCGTTAACGGCGCGAAAGTACCATTAACGATTGATGAAAATTGAGGTCATTAACTAATGGTTATCTAAGATTTTATTTTAAAAACGGTTTGAACTAACCGTTAACGAAACGGCTTGGAATGTGTCTGCAGCCCTAATCTAGCGTTTCAAGTCATTTTTACAGTCTAATTCTTTGTGGATAACCCTGTATACTTTATCCTGTTTATTGCATCTGATCCTAGTTTTATCTGCAGCGGGTTGAACGGTTGGTCCAGGGACCAAACTTAATGATTTGGAGAGGTAGCTGAACTACACATACTATTCAAATCCTGAATTACCGATTCAAATTCTCATGAATCATTATCTGTGAATCCGTTGTTCAGGATTTGAACCGGCGGTAAGTAGATCAGCGACCTCTTTTCAATTCATTAAATGCGGTCCCAGTATTATGATTGAGGGAACATTGACGGTGCTCAGCGCCCGCTGGTTTCCACCAGGAGAGAGAACTACAGGGAGGACCAATAAACAAATCATACAGTTATAACATTTAAAAGCCTTTTTAGATATTCAGTATAATTTCTTATTCTTAAACCCATTTTGAGTCTGACATGCTACCATATAAACGGAGAGCTAGCTGTTATGAATTACGTCTACATTCCCTTTTACTTATTTTATTGGGACTCTCTCTACAGCTACTGGTATAATTATTGGAACTCAGATGGCAGGATTGATTCCGCCATCTTTACTTTTTCCTCGCCTAGTAACAGATCCAGGTTCGGAAGACGACATTATCATTTTAAATAAAAAAACGAAGTAAAATAAAAAAAAAAATTAAAATTGCTTTTTTAGACATTGTAGCACTTATCAAGGTTCAATTTTTTTAACATTTTTGGAACAATTCCGGTCGATTTATTTCAATTGTAATTGTTATTTATCAAAATAGTTACTAAAATATATATCTATCTATCTACATATTTAGAGGTATGTAGCACAACAATTTATGAAGTCAGACATTTTTAGTTGGTTGGGTTTATGAATTTGAATTAAACCGTATTATGGAGTTTCATTGGGGTCTTGAAAAAATGAAAATCTGCTAAACAAATCTATGAAATGCCTAGTTATTTTGGAAGAATGGCAAGACCTTAGTCTATACAATCAAGAAAGTACCATAAAAAATGGCCATAAAAACTTTATGACTATGTCTTTAAATGGAATTTCAGCGCAAATATATCACCACGCTTTAATCATTTTATCAATATTCTTACTTATTTTTGTGTGATTGTAAAGTAAACCCTTATTCTAATCTGTTGAAAAAAATGTAAATGCAATGAAAAATATTCCTTAAACTTATCACAATGGTTCTTAATCAATTTTCCACAGAGTCAAAATGACAAATTTCAAACTATTCTTACTTCTTTGTATATATACAATGTACATACATACCTCTAATTGACTTCAATCGATCGTCTAAAAGAGCATTTTTTTAGCGACACCCTGTATATATTAGAACTAATTGTTTTCTTTAATTAAAACGATTTCAGACTCTGTTGTGGATTTGAAGAGTAAAACCCTGTCTGAGACAATACAAGGTTACCAACAAAGGTTGAGGCTTCAGAGACGACTGTACGAAACTTTTACTGTCTGTTTCTTTATATTCATGTTTCCATGCAACTGTAAACTTGATTTTTTCTTTGCCAAATCATTAAATCATCCAATAATTATATTAAACACAGATTACTTCACTCAACCTTGAAATGTTTATATTTCAAGATTTTCAGGTCGTCTCTACAGTCTCATCCTTTATGTGTAACCCTGTGTACAAGGCGAAGTGTCAACCATACTGTACTGCGAGGCGGGGTTAGTCTTTCTTCTGTTCCTGATCATGGTTCTGTACTTCCCAGATAGTCCTCCTTCTCCACCCTCAGTTACTGCAACTGTTAAACGACAGAATTTTATGAAAGGAATCCGACATATACTCACAAATCCAAAGAATGTAATAGCAGGTAAGCCATTTAGAAATACTACCAATGACAGTTCTATTTATCGAAAACTATGAAAGAATTCAAAGCATTGCTCATGAGCAGCTCACTTTGCATCTCTTTATTATGATTACTGTTACGAATTCTAAAAAACAAAACAAAAACAAGAAGAGAAAGTTTAAAAGGTTTTATCAGAATATTATGATGTATTTAAGATTTTCCCATTAGAATTATATCTGCATTTTTGCACTTTTAAGGTTTACAAAAATGTAAAAGAAAGGACTATGCGAATGAAACATCAAATTGTGTTAATTTTTAACAATTTAAACATGTTTGGCTATAACTAGTTCAGCGTGCCCCTAGGTCTTGCCTTTGCTTGTGTGACAGTTCCCATGATGTGGATTACCGTGGTCAACCAGAATCTTCAACCATTCGGTCTTAGTCAGGTTGGAGTCAAGCTTATTTTGGTGAGCAATCCCTTTACATCATAAAACTAATTTAGATTGAGACTGGATATATTGGAACTTCAATAATTGGGATTTCTTTTATTCTCAACATTCTTAACTCCAGGCTAGGGTTTCCATAGAATGGACCAAAACAAAAAATTCTCTGAAATGTCCAAGTCAAAAAATTTCGCGAAATTTAAAGTTTTTTCTATAAATCTACAAGCCTTTGCTGGGACTGATACTTCCTATAATATTGTTCTTGATCGAGCATATTACACAGAAAATGTTTGCAAAAATTTACATACAGGGTGTCCCACGAAACATGAAAGTAGCAAGACGACTTGAAGGTCGTCATTGGTCGTCTGGCTTTTTGTGCTTTTAATATGAAGAACTTTTTAAAGATTTTGACAATTTTGGTTTTATTTAATAAATTTAAATCTGAATAAAATTCTTAATATCTCCGGTGATATTGACAGCATAAAAAGGCAGATCACATTTTGGAAATGGCAGGACTTTGATTATTTTGTTGTTGTTGTTTTAAGAAGAATAGACATTCAAAGCTTAAAGACGACTTTCGTCTTGCTACTGTCTTATATTATCGAAATTTTGGAAAATTAAAAAATGGAAAATTTTGAAATTCTACTTCAGGCTCTCTGATGTTTTCTACGGGAATCTGAAAACTGTAATTTCCTGTTTTTTAACATTAAGCCTCGGTTGTTCAGTATGGTTGGCGCTTATCTGCTTAAAGATAGGTAAATAGTAAAACTTTGTTTTAGCAAAGGGATTGTTCATGACTTTTCTTGTGACTACTAATTAACTAATAAAGAACAATAAGATTTATCCTATACCTGGCCTGGAGCAAACAAATTTTCAGAAATAAAAAATTGTGAAATTAGTTCGGACAAAGAAAGAATTTATTTTTATACAACTAACTATTGTTCAAAGTCAGTTTCAGGGTGAATTTTATCAAAGACGTGCTATGCAGGAAAAATCCTGCTAAAGCTCGGGACAAAATATAATCTAAAAAGACTTGAACCTTGATAAAGAGAAAAATTATGTCCAAAAACTGTTTAGCACTTCGAACCAAAATAATAGTGTTATAAATAGTATCTTATGAAATTTCAAATTTATTTCGAACAAAACAATTTTAGAAAATTATCTTCCAATAATTATTTTAGCATATGTTCTTGCTCTACACTTTTGCGCTGATAAAAAAGATTAATCATTTTTGAAATGTACTTACAATAACATATTTTTTTCGTTCTAGTTCACTTTATCCGAATATTTTTAGTTTCTGCTTCCAAACTCGGTATATTTGTCTCTTCAATATGTTCAATGGTTGCATTAAGATGTATAATTGCTCTGTTCTACGAGCTCCTCATGGAAATTAACTATCCGGCACCAGAATCTCTAGTTACCCTTGTCTGGGGTCAGGTACGGAAAACTCTGGAATAAGAAGACGACTTTTAAACTCAAGTTTTTCCTTGAAATAGCCCATTGAACATTAGACACACCAATTGTGCACTGGGAAAGACCCATTTGACTTAAAAAGTGATTTAATAAGTTATCACTTTTTGCTTTGTAACAACAGCAAATACACTTAATTATTACTTTATGCAGGTACTCTAAAAAATCCATAGCCTTTACCCTTGGGTACCCGGCTTAGTCTGAAACATTCACCTTTATAGATACTATATAATATATGTTCTTTAAAGTTCCAGGTGATTAGTAAACAAGTTAGGTTTCTTCCTTAACTGTTAAAATTTAGCGTCACATATTCAGAAATTAGACGAAATGTGTTTTATTTTATAAAAGTGATTTTCGGATTTATACTGCAGAAACAATTTAGGAAAATTGTGAGAAATTAACACTTTTCAAGAAAAAAAAATGACTTATATAAAGGATGAAAGGGTACCGGTGTGAACCGAATAAATGACACTATGCTGATAATATGTCAAGATATTCCTGAAGAACTCTTGAGAAAATCTTGGGAATAGTCCCAGCAAATTCCCAGGAATTGGTTCTCAATAACTTTTCTCTGATTTTCTCCGGTTATTCACTAGAATTGGTAACCAAAAATTCCCTGGAATTGGTTACAAGAAATTCCTTGGATAGGGTTATGAGAAATTCCTCAGAATCCTTACAAGAAATTTCACGGAACTGGATACGAGAAATTCCCAAGAATGGGTGACGAGAAATTCCTCGGAATTTTACCGGATTTTCCTGTGTAAGATTCCCGGGAATTTCCGCGCATTCCCAAGAAAGATTCCTGGAAATTTCCGCGGATTTTCCGCAAAGATTCCTGGGAATTACCGCAAAATTGTTATCTGGGAAATGGAGTTCATTTGAAAGAAATTAAGTCAATGGCCACAATATTTTACCCCCCAAAAATTTCCAGATTCATGAAATTTTAGCTTTTGTATGAGCTTTAAAACGGGCATAATTATTTGTCACGATTAGAAATAAAAGAATGATTAAATCAACCCTTTTTTGGCCCGAGACGACGTTTCCAATAAAATATTTGTGATTTTTGTAAAAATGTAAAAAATTTACAATTAATTCAATTAATACCCCACCACTTTCTGTATGGGAAGGAAATCCTTTGAAGCAAAAGGATGTTGAAAATACCAATAAACAGTTTAACAAAAAGGTTGGCGTTTGAAACTTAAATACTTAATACTGATTTGCAAACCTTTCAGCTATTGTTTAATTCCCAATTTTTTCATGTCTGCTTTTTTTTAATAAAAGTATTATAAAGATCATCTTTTCAAAGGTTGGACGAATTTTTGTCGCTGTTTTCCTCGGTATGTTTAGGTAAAATATTATTAACAATAATATCCTTTACGTTCTATAACCTTACTATTGTCAGTAAGAGTGATATTTAAAAGATAATCTAAATAATTATCCTTTGCAGCAACTTTTAAAGGAACTGAATTCTTGACACTAACTCTAATTTTCTCATCAATATATTTTGCAACCTGATTGTGTAAACCTTTGTTACTTTCAAACTAAGACGTTTATTTCTAACAGAATTAGTTGTTTGAATTTTTAAAGGGCTATGGTTTTGGGTTGCAAATATATAGGGATTTGAAAATTAGAGGTTGTGGCAAGAACTCAATTCCTTTCTGAACATTTTTAATCATAATTTAAACCCTCTAGCTCTATGTATTGCATATTATTTTTCGTTGTGTTTAGTGTAATAGATGGAGTGACTTGGATGAACTATTTTCTAGTAGGGTTCACGCTACTCCCACTCCTACTTCTACTCTCTGTTAGAATGGAGTACAATAGATCTGAGACGGATCAGGGAACCAGAAGTAGTACTCCCTCTCTCCTACAGGATTCATGAAAACCTACTTCTACTCCTACTCCTTCTCCTACATTCTAAGTACATTATAATCTGTATGTACTATGTACTATGTAGTCATGTTGAATTATAATAACTTAATCACTTATTAAATTAAATTGCAGAGCCATTTTTTTCTATTAAAACTATTAATTTCAAATTTTTATTTAAGCAAATAGAGGTTGAATTTGATGCCGATTAAAAGAAATGTTAAAAATAGGAAATTAAAAATCGGATATATCAAAAATTGTCAAATGCAGTCGACAGAAGTAAACTGGTTTCCCAATCTGTATCTTTAACTTTTCATAAACAACCTTTTTTAGAAAATTTAAGTAATTAACTTTCATATTAAAGAGATCGTTTTCTATGAATGACGATATTCTTTGAAGATGCGCTTACTAAGTTTTTAAAATATCTATCTATCTCATCTGGATTTCATTTGGTACAAAAGTACAAAGTTTCTGTTTTAACAATGGCGGCCGAACTAAGATTTACCGCCGAACAAAGAACTTTTATAAAATACATGTTTATCAAATTTTCGCATGTTAAAGTGACTCAAAGGGTTCAGATGATTCAGCAAATATTCTCTGGTAAATTTGAGTAATGTAAGATGAGTAATTTGAGGAGAGCAAGAGTTTTCAGAATTTCAGATTTGCACCTATCTTTTATTTCAACTTTTACGAGTGGGCCTATCTATGAGCATCTTCTCTTTTTACAATATAAAACAATAACAAAAATTCGCGGTTTTGTTAATATTTTTTCGCGCATTTTTTTTAACAAAAAAAACTTTTGACACAATTTTTTGTAATTTTGATCGTTCATAAACCTACCCTGCATGGGGCCATTTGAGGTTCCACATAAAATTTGGGCCCGATCGGTTCATCCGTTTTGACGTTTATTGAACACAAACACATTTTTACACCCTCATAAATGTTTCAAAGTTAGTAAAAATTAGATAAAAAACCTTCGTATATTTACAGAATCTCATAGGTTGATAGAAATACCATTTTATAATTAAATGCTCTAGGAGCTCTAGTGTTCCAAATAACTTGAGATTTTCAGTGACAATATTCAAAGATTGTACTTAATCCACTTTGCATTTTTCATGAACACAGTTTGATGTTTTTTTACTCGTGATTTTGTACCTTTAAAGTGACTGTAAGCGTAATTTCAAGTGACCTTTCATGCAAAGAAGGCAATGTCCGATTCACAACGGTACCCTTGAAACTTTCGTCTGATTAATAATAAGGATGACATTGTTGTTTTTTTATGTTTAAAATTGTTTAATTGTGATAATTTCTATATGTCATCCTGCGTAGAAATGCGTAAGTCACTTTGGAGAGAACCCACAAGTGGAAATAAATTTGATCCATTAATTCCATCAATTTGATAGAATTTTATAGGTTCTTGAGATTAATGGAATGATAAAAGGAAGGAGGAGGGCGGGGCGGGGGTTAGGGTGTCGGAGGGTGATAAATAGAGTGAGGAAGGAAAAACAGAGTGTTAGGAAGGAAAAATAGAGTGTTAAGGTAGAGGATGGAGTAGGATTGAATTAAGGAGCTGTTAGAGTAGGGAAACTTGGAGAAATTAAAGAATCTCAGTTTCATTTAAAGCCTAGTGAAATTCACAATCCCCAAAATACCTGGCTCCGATACTCCCCCTTTCCTTCCCCTATATTCAGCCCAGCAGGGCCACTGCATATATGCACTCAACTCCTTTCTCCCTCCTCCTCCTCCTGCACTGTTCCCAACTCCTGATAGTTCAGGTATACATTAGGAGATTTAGGGGTCTCCGACTCACCTTATTGACCTAACTTTGACCCTTAAAAGGAGCCCTAGCCTCCTTCCTGCACGCTGAAGGAGCTAAAGGAGGCTGAGATTTAAGGAGAAAAGAAAATCAGGAGAACTTTGAAAACTTCCCCGCTCCTTACAGTTCTACGCATAGGTAACTGAGAAAACTCAAGATTTGGGAGAGACGGACAGAATATTTATGTGTAGATTCGCGGGAATTTTAAAATTGCAAGTATCTCTATACTATATATGTAAATGTTACAGATACGAAATACAGAAATTGTTTATAAATAAACAAAAGTTAATTGAACAAAATCAATCATGTCGATATATATATATTGCTGTAACCAAATTAATTGATTTAATTTGATTTTAATTTTTTACAATATTTTCAATTAAAAAAGCGACTTTTTTTTAAATCGGGGCACACCCGGGCCCAGATTCACATACCCTGTTAAACCTTACAAATGTCTTAAACATATCGTTGTTTTCTCTCTGTTTATTTCTGTTCCCTGCTCAAAATTTGATGATTTCCAATTGTTACTTTTCTGTTAAAGCAGATTCATGCAAAACAAAGACAATTTAAGAAAATCTAAGGAATTCATTAACTGTTGGATGTTAGTCAAGTTTTTTCGACTTCATCGGGTTGGAAATCCAGGGTTTGTGTTAAAGACTCAATTCCTTTATTTACTTAAATACACACAATTGCAGATATTTTGTCGAACTATTTTTTTTATTATTTTTGCAAACTGATGGATATTTCAAAATAAACACAATAGTCTATAAGTTTTAAATATAAAAAGTTTACATCATTAGGTTGAAAAAATGTATGTATTATATAATTAGAGTTTGAATCTTGTTATCAGTTCTAATTACTATTTTGTTTCACTTTTTGTGTGTTCTCTCATCAAATCCTTGACTATTCTTTTAAGTTCTAATTCTAGTTGATCAGGATCATAAACCCTTTCCAGGTTCTCCCTAATACTGTTCTCCAGTACCTCCCTCTTCTCCTGGCCCTCATTTTCATCAAACCTAGAGAGCATACTGGAGATATGAGTATGTGCAGAGTTGAGAACCTGTTTTTGTATCTTCTTAATTCTAGTTTTTACTAAGATGAGTTCCGGTAGTTCTACTGCGTCCAGATATACAGCAGCTGATGCTCGTCTCTTCGTTTCACCTTGATCCTCATCTCCATCCTCATCTAGATGTGGGAACATCAGAGCTGGAGAACCTTGGTTATCCTGTAGTACCATGGGAGCATATTATCTTTAAAATCTCCCAACTTAAATCCACATAAATCTATTAATTAATGAAAACTACTTGCTTGGGAACACAGCTTTGCCTGGAAACTTAGTTTTCTGATAATCCACATAAATCTATTAATTTTCCCTACTGAAGTCAACCCTTTAAACTTTTAAACCCAAACTTAGAACATTTCCGTGGTTTTACCAAGTTCCCCATGAAAATTTAAGGCAAATCGGTCTAGGGGTTCATGGATTCTGACAAACAAGCAAACAAACAACACAAATTTTTGCTTTATTTATACAGATGCTATACAGATTCATAGACTATTGAAACTGTTAAGGAGGCTTTTGTTCTTTATTTCATCTTTCCAATCCTTTTTTTACTTTTTATCCTTGGGTTTAAAGATTAGTTAAGTTTTATTGAAGTATTTGGTAACATTTTCAACTATTCTGTATCAGACAGAGGCGTATTCAGGGGGGGGGCTATTAGGGCTAATGCGCCCCCCCC